CTATTTTATTTGTGAAAACATCTTTTTTTTTGTTATATAAGGATTCTTTACACAACTTTGACATAGAAGCCAGCTGCGAGATTTTAATATAACTTTCAGTTTTTAAGTTATAATACAAACTTGTACTTTTTTTAAGCAAAACACCCTATATGTTTTCCAACTTTTGACAGCGTAAAATTTCGTTTGAAATAAATTATCATTCATGATATTTGCACAAAAAAAACGTTTTTCAAGACACGAACATCAAAAACTTTTCCTTTTTGTAAATTAATTATTTGTTGATATAATTTAGTATACTTACCGTACATTTTTTTTTCATTGATAGATCAAATGCATTCATGGTACACTTAATTGTGTCAAGAAACAGTTGAATAAACAAAAAATATTTTTTGGCGTTTGTTCCCTGAAGAAATTTGTTTTATAAACATTTATACAGGGGGTCCCACTTTCTCTAATATCGTACCTTAGTGGGACACCCTGTATATATTATGCCATATGTAAGAAAATTTTACTCCGATTTCAAAAAGAATGTTCCATTAAAGAAAAATGTAAGCTTTGATTATAATTGATTGATTGTACGACACTATTCTACGTAAAAAATTGTGTTATGTAAAAAACCTCTTTTACAAAAATTAAATATTTTTACAAACACGAAGGTTATAGATCCTCATAGAAAATTACCAAAATTGAAGAACGCTCTACATCTCTTAAACCTGAAAATAGCCCTCTGGATATATTTTCTCAAAACAAATATGAAGTGGAAACATGAAATTTTCAAGATATCCGTAATAAAATAAAATAGAATTCATAAATGAGAACCACGAAATAATAGCGAAAGCAAAAAAGTATATGTTTAATTTGTCAATCTTTTTGAGAACTCCTTGTACAAAATTCAACGCCATCATAAAAAAAAGTTCTAGTTGATAGCTACAACTTTTATTGTTAACATTTTCTTTTAACTTTAAAAATAAAACAGTTAATGGAATTTGACATTTACAATCAATACATATATTGAAAAAACAATCTTATAGCTATCAAAATTTGCAAATATTATACTAGTCCAGGCGGTATCAGTTTTAAAAAGGGTATACTTGGATAAAACGCATATGATCGGAGATTTTTGCTTTAACGGCTTCTAAATAACATCAGAAATGATAATTTTTCTATGCAAATAAAAAAAAACGTGGGCTTAATTGTTATTGCAAAAAAGTATAAAAAAATAGCAAAAAAATTCATTTTTTTCTTGGATTTCTCGTCTACAAGTTGGCAACTATTCATTTTAGACAAAAATAGGAGAGGAAAAAAAGTTTTGTAATTAAATTTTGATCAAGATAGAATTAATTGCAATTCGAAAAAATAATTATTGTTATTGCAAAAATCGGAAAAATCATTGAAAAAATTGCAAAAAATGCTAGTTTATTTGTCAATTTTTTTCAGACACTTGAATAATACCTAGAATCTTCATACTTTTCCCAATTAAACTTCTTAGTGCATAGAATCATCACACCAAATTTCATCCAATTCGGTTAGATAGTTTTTACATAATACCTAATTGTTTAATTTTTTTATATTTTTTAAATTAAAAAATTTTCAAAATCAAATTTCTAAAAATCTGAAGCCTTTGAATACTTGAAAATTTCACCACAAAAAGAAAAGCTCTCAAGAAGATTGTTTAAACATTTTTGCAATTTTCACGTTTATAAACAATTGCAATAATTTAATGTCTTTTAATTTTTTTTTTATTTTGAAATATGGTTTGAAAGTACTCGGAAAGACGAGTATTAAAAAAAAACTGATGACCCGCCCATTATTTTCGGAGTTATAGCCCGTTAAAGTTAACCCTTATTTACAGCAAAACTATAACGGTATAAAGGCTGTTTTTTGAACTAATAGGTTTGTGTCATTTCCAGATATAAATTTTCAAAATTTGCAATCACGTGCGTCCCATTTAAAATGTCACTCAAAGATATTCAAGACCGCGTGAAATCAATGAAATATACTCAGTGGTGGGGGGAGCAAACACACAGCTACATAATCGTCTTTGCGAGTATGTACTTTCAAACCATATTTTAAAATAAAAAAAAAATTGAAAAAAAAACATTAGATTATTGTAATTGTTTATAAGCGTGAAAATTGCGAAAATGTTTAAACAATCACCACGTATCACCTGATCGTCCGATTTGAATTTTTCAAAAATCATTTTAAAGCTTGAGAGCTCTTCTTTTTGTGGTGAAATTTTCAAGTATTTAAAGGCTTTAGATTTTTAGAAATTTGATTTTTAAAATTTTTTAATTAAAAAAAAAACAATTAAATATTATGTAAAAACTATCCAACCGAATTGGATTAAATTTAGTGTGATGATTCTATGCACTAAGAAGTTTAATTGGGAAAAGTATGAAGATCCTAGGTATTATTCAAGTGTCTGAAAAAAATTGACAAATAAATTAGCATTTTTTGCAATTTTATAAATGATTTTTCCGATTTTTGCCATAACAATAATTATTATGTTTTCGAATTGCAACTAACTCTATCTTGATCAAAATTTAATTACAAAACTTTTTTCCTTTTCCATTTTTGTCTAAAATGAATAGTTGCTAAGTTGTCGACGAGAAATCCAAGAAAAAAAATGAATATTTTTGCTATTTTTGTATACTTTTTTGCAATAACAATTAAGCCCACGTCTTTTTTATTTGCATAGAAATATTATCATTTCTGATAAGAAAAAGGAGCCAATAAATTTCGAAAAAAAAGAAAAAATTGGTTTACTGAACAAGAAAAACTATATTATTTTGTGGAGTTCTGTACACGTTATTGACTAATTTTTGTAACACTATACAGGGTCTTTTTTAGGTTGAGTTAACCATGACCACCCTGTATATGCGTTAAAATATGCCACGTGCGGTAATGTACTTCACATCCGCTCAAGTGCATGATAAAACTAATTACACATTAATATTAGGTTGTCGTTCTATCCTATACAACTCCTTTTTTGTATTAATTATTAAATATTGGACGAGACCAAATAAAGCACTTTTGTCAAGTTATAAAGCCAAAACAAGGTGCTACAAAAACTTTAATTTTTGACACTTAATTTTCTCAGAATAAAGTAATATATCCAAACAACAACGATGATATATTATATCATCATTGTTGTTTGACATGAAATGTCTTCTGGGTGTTCTGAAAAAATAAATCCTTAAAATACAGAAGAAAGTTATACAAAAAAAGTTATTATATCTATGTAAACACGTGTTCGAAAACTCTTGATTTTAGAGATTTAGAGAGTTGAAAATTAAAAAAATGTATCACGTTAAGATGTTTGGTGTATGTAGAATTATGATGAGTATTTCCAAGGATCTATTTATCTATTATTCATTTCATTCGAAAACTGTACCATTTTTGTTAATTTTTAAATTTAAATAAACCTATCATGTACTTCAATAAATCGAAATTAACTCTAATACTACTTGCGTCATGTATATAGGAATTTTGTTGGAAATGCAAGTTTAAATACAATAGACCTTTTTAGTAGAGACGTCACATACGCCAAAAAGAATAGGCAACCACGTAGTGCACATTGTCATGAAGAATTTCTCAATATTTTTACTAGGTCGATTTTTGACCTTATGTACTTTGGACATAAGTACCAAAAAAATGTTAAATATCGCGATATTCTGGCAATATTACAAATATTTAAGAAGTTTCAAACCTCAAGGGACAAAGTAAAATAATTATAGAATTTACATATTTAAATTTATAGAACAATATTGACTTTTAAAGTATGTCAATGTTACTGAGCATGCCCATTAAAGATAATTTCATGTAAGTGAAGTAACCTCGCAGCAAGATGTCATTCAAGAAAAGTTTGGTTATGGCTCAAAGTACGTCTATAATAAACCTCTTGAAGAAATAAACACTCGATAAACACACTGTCACACCACAATACCAAGAAAAACAATAAAAATGCAAGGTAGAACTACAAAATGCCAAGATTAAAAGAAGAAAAAATACGCTAATGATGACAGCCATCGCCATATCAACAAGATCTCACCTGTGTATGAGGCTATTTTTTCCGAGCATGCGCATTAGGAATAACACGGCTAATGTTATATTTTTATTTTATTTGAATTTAGGAATATTCTTTTATCGTTTTTTGTAAGTTTTAAGCACATTAGCGTATCTATTTTACGAAATACCTGTTGGTTGTTCTTAAATACTTCTAAATCCTTGTAAAAATTAATTCACTTGAAGTTGCTATAATTATCTATGTAGATAGTACATAAGGGTCAGATTCGGACTGTACAATTTCTACTATGACAGTTTGTTGCGGATTGCCTAAATATGTGACGTCACACTAAAAGAGTCTATTTAATTAAGAAGATTCCAAAAAAGCATTGAAGTACATTTTTTTTATTTTATGAAGGAGAGTCACTTCCTATACATGTAAAATTGCTACGTTAGTGACTCTTACTTTTGTTGCAGGTTTATTCTAAATTTTAAAAATATATATATCTTAAGTTGCAAATACCAACCGGAACTAAATGTAGCTATCGAGTTATCCAGTTTCCAAAAGTTTCAGCGGCATCCAAATTCTATAGTTCTTTGTGGGGAATTTGAGACGTAGATTCCACCATTAAGGTTTGGCAGAGTATATTATTAACACCCTGTATGAAATTTATCGTTGATGAACTTCATGTTGACCTTTGGCCTAAAATGATTGAGATCAATAACAGAGATGGTTTTTGAAGTTGAGGTGTTTGGATATAATGGAATAAATAGGATTGGGACAGAGAATAGAGAAATAGAATAGAATAGAATTACATAGAATAGATGGATAATAATAGATACATGATACATGACAATAATAATACATGAAGATCAGTACAATTACCAATAAATTAAATCAAAGCATTTTGTCATTAAGAAAATAAAAGGGATATACCGTGACTGTTTAAAATTACATCAATTCGCGGTTGGCATTGTCACCGTTATTTGCACTAAACAAATTTCATCGTCTATATTGGCATTGCCCAACTTATTAGGCGTATAATAAACTTTGCACTTATTTCAATTTCTGCCGTCAGTACGCGGATAAGTGCATGATTAAATTGCATAGTTTCTTACCAGTGTTCTGCGAAACTGCGCGACGTAAATACGTGTTTCAGATCACGATGTCTATAAAGGAAGCCGATCTGGTCGAAGTCTACAAGAACGACCCCAAACTGAAGCCAGAGGATGTTAAGAGTCTTTGGGATTGGGCGGACAAACAGCCGCACTTGCCGAAAATGACAGGTACAGAGGGATTCCTATTTTTAGTTTATTCATTCAAAATTTATTTCTGTGTAAATATAAAATATCTTAGGTAGGTAATTTTGAATTAAATGTTAGAAATTAATATACTCGTATGTTTGCAACTTTTCTGTTACGAATGCGATTTCAAAACAGGCAGAAATAAGTTTGTTGAAAATAATTCCTGACTTTATACTATTTTTTTTAATTTTTCAATTAACAACATGGTAACAAAAAAAATACTTAAGAAATTACACAAATAAATGCTCTGAGAAAATTTAGTTTTAACATTTAAAATTATTTCTCTTTTTTAAATCTAATATATCAAAAGAAATAATTTTATTTCATAACCTAGATACATACTTCAAATTTATTTGTTTATATCCAACTTTTTTAAACATTCATTTAAGGCAAATTTAATAACATAAGTGCTGTACTAAAAATCAACTGAATTCAACATATTTTCTCTATTTAAAGGTTTTCTAAATAAATGTGCAACAACAATTCTTTACAAATATTTAAAGTTTACTTCTAATTAAGTCAAGTTTGAAACAGGTTTGAAGCAAGAAGGTCACTCTCTGAACTACTCCATGTATATAAAAAATGTGAACAAAATTTACATTATTTCTGGCGCTATTTTTAACAATGCAAAAATGGTATATGTATAGGAATTAATATTTTCCTTTCTTATGTAACTGCTTTTATGTTTTGTATTCATTCCATATTTGCCGTCTGTGGTTGTGTCTCTTTTTACTTGACTGATCCATACATTAAGATAAATCATTCTGTGCACATCAAATTTTACTGTAATAGGTAACAAAACATTTCCCAGAATAGGAATTCAAGATAACTAATTGATATTGACACAGTACGGTCTACTGAACACGTTGCAACGTGTTTTTTATGCGTTTTTATTTAACTGTGGTTTTAAAATAATTTTAAAAACGAAACGCTACGAACCGCTGTTAGCATTTTCTCTTAAATGATAAATCGTGAAGGAAAGAAAATATGTAAATATTAAATGTTTGCATACATATTTGGCGAATTCTAAAAATATTTAATATTAATACTTAATATATTTTTTTAATTTCCTCAATTATATGCTTCCGTTATTTAAATAAATGATGCCTGTATAATTTTCTCAATTATATTAATTATACAGGGTGTCTCATAATTACCTGCCAACCCTGAACAGGCCGATTCTATGATCAAAACTAAAGTAAAAAAGTTCATATGAACATGGGTCCGGAAATGCTTCCTAAGGGCACAGGGACCCATTGAAGAGGGAGGAATGGAAACCATTTTTTGCAATATCTCTATATCGTTGAATTCGTCTTTAGGAGGGCTATCTATTTATACTATAAAATATAGAGCGTCCTGTTAAAAAAAAATGTCGGTAATGTTATAGGTCTGTCAAACATGGCTAAAAAAAAACCAAAATATTACAGAAAAGTGACAATTTCTATTTACTAATTGACCTGTTTCAGCGTTTTTTGAAAATCTGAACTGGAAAAAAAATATGAATTTTGTTCCATCATTTTGGGACACACTATACAGTGTGTTTTTAACTTTAAACTTTAACTTTAAGACGCGATCTCTTGCCATAAAGCCATAGATTAAATACTTATATACGAAACATAAAGCCTTGAGTAAGCTGGATGAAATCATTTCACCAATTTTCTTGCAATTTATACTCGTAAAAGAAACGCAATATTTTATCTCAAAGCACATTTTTGTAGAGACTTTATAAAGTTTGATCAAGTATATTAAATATATACCTACTTAAATTCCCACTGACGCTAACTCCTCATGAAAATAGATATTATTTTTAGAGATGCAAGTAGTGCTGTTTCTCCAAAGTTGTTACTACAGTAACGAGATGGCCAAAACTACAATCGATAATTACTTCACTGCAAAAACGTTGTGTCCCGAAATTTTTGGCAACAGAAACCCTGATGATCCTCAAGTGGAAACGGCAATGAATGTAATGTAAGTTAAAAAAAATAGCATTACTTTTATCAAATCTCTGTATTTGGTACATTGGTATTATGTAACTACAAAACTGACTAAAAGCGATAACCTTGAACTTTTACTATTTTTTTTTTTTAGTAAGTGTCGTTAATAATATATCAAAAAGTATTATTCAGATTTACTTACAATGTTACGAAAAATCAAAGATAAATGTTTCTGTAAAAGTTACGCTTTATCTTGCGATATTTTTTTTGTGGCTATAAAGTTATAGCACTGTAAGAAAGTTACAGAATACGGCTACAGATCTAAAATCTTTTGGACTAAAATGATTCAAGGAACAAATAACATGAACTTAGAAACATCCTGTATATCTTACACATTTTCTATTTACAGGATGGTTGCCCTGCTGCCAAAGCAAACTCCGGACGGCTACTCGGTGATTTACATAAAGTTGATGAACTCAAACCCTGACATCTACAATTTTCCACTTCAAATCCGTTGTTTTGATATGTACACCTTGCTAGCGCTACATCAGGTGGGACCTAAAGAAGGAATGATAATGCTCGTGGATATGAAGGGGATCGTTTTTGGTCACTTTCTGAAGCTCAGCGTCGTAATTATGAAGAAATTCCTGTACTACCTACAGGTAAGGTGTATATTTTTATTTTCGATGGCAAATATTATTGATAGACATTTTTTATATACCAACCCAAGTACTTAACAGTTTAAATACCGTTTAGTCTAGCTCTTTTTTTACATATAAAATAGTTTTATGAAGAAAGTTTGCAGATTAATCAATTTTCTCTGATTACTGCAACAGAAATTCATCAATAGTTTTATAAATAGTTATTATAGAAGTCCTATGGGCTATTAAAAAATTTAAATTATTACTTTGGAAGTTTCTATTGCCTTGAAGAAAATATTGATATGGATATCGTAAAAATTTATCTTTTCCATACAATTTTATAAATTATTTTCAGGAAGCAATGCCTATCAGGCTGAAAAGTTTAGAATTCTACAATATCGTACCTTTTATGGACAAAATTCTTGCAATAATGAAGCCTTTCATGAAAAAAGAACTCATAGATGCAGTAAGTATAAATGAACCAGACCTATACAGGTTCGGAAAGTCCCCATGGTACATCGGCCGTTACGTGACAGAGATAAAGTAAGTCATAGAGATCCGTGCGATAGAGAAGGATGGCTATAATGAAGGCGTCTCATAGTCACCGCCCGTTTCGCCATTCCACAAATAACATCCACTTCCACTTGTAATTCAGCCACCGGTGGTCATCTTTGTTTTCGTCGTTTGCCTTTTCTTTAATAGATGTCACTACTTATACAATTCCTACTCCGGTATTCCGATATCTTAATACAATCCGTTAACAGAGGGCAGCACAACGCGAAACAAAGAAAACTTTTTACAGTAGCTAGCAGATACCTCTGTTTGTAAAACTAGTAACCTTGTTTCCCCTACGGAGAAGTTATTCAAATGGAGCATAGTGCTCAGCTGCATTTAAAGTTCATTTAGTTGTCATTTAAATATATTTCTTAAAATGACTTAAAAATCCCAAGAAATAAAGCAAAATTCCCTATTTCCCCAATTCCAAAAAAAATCTCACCTTCTGCCCTCTGTTAACGGATTGTATTAACATATCGGAATACTGGAGTCGGAATTGTATAAGTAGTGACATCTATTAAAGAAAAGGCGAACGATGAAAACAAAGATGACCACCGGTCGCTGAATTACAGGTGGAAGTGGATCTTATTTGTGGAAGGGCGAAACGGGCGGTGTCTATGAGACGCCTTCATTATAGCCATCCTTCTCTATCGCCCGTGTTTCTATGACTTACTTTATCGCTCTCACGTAACGGCCGATATACCATGTAGACTTTCCGAACCTGTATATAAAAAACCATATGCAATGTTGATTATGGACCTTGTTTCAATTTTCAATTAGTTTTTAATAGTTATGCAACACACAATTAGAGCTAAGGGACAAATGTGTTGTCTAGTTATATTTTAATCATTGGTTCTTTATATAAGTTTCATGTAAAATTTTGTAATTATTATTTTTTATGGCTTAATAGTCTCAGTACTGTATTTTTTTATTATTAATACTTTCAGCTATATTTACATACAACTATGGAGAGCCTGTATAGTCGCGTTCCACAGGATTTGCTACCTCAGGAATATGGTGGTTCCACTGAATCTCTAGAGATATTACATGGTTAGTTTGTTAGTTAATAACCCTGGTGTACACAAATTATAATTAAAATGATTATCCATATTTTAGTGATAGTCATAAATAGAAAGAATATAGCAAGTAAATTAAACATAATTTACATAGGTACATTTATAGACAACATTCTATAAATGAAATAAATTATATTATATAAGTAGGTATGTGGCTCCGTTATTCAGTTGTTTTTTACGACTTAAAATGATATATTTTCATTAATTCCAACACCCTGTATAATAAAAATAAAAAGATTCCTAATATATGTGTTAATTTGCTATTAGAATCTACCAAAAAAGTTTGGCTAAGCGTTTTGTAATTACATCCTGTATATTTTGTACATATGTATAGATACGTACCAGTACTTATTTTAGGATTACATTCATATTGTGCTATAAATGTATATTTAAAGGCTATAATTAAAACTGTCTTTTTTATTCTTACAGAAAAGTTTAAAGCTCTGTTAAACGATAACAAAGAATTTCTCAAATTTCAAGATTCACAAATTGTTGATGAATCCAGAAGACCAGGAAAACCAAAGAATGTAGGAGATGTGTTTGGAATGGAAGGAACATTTAAAAAACTAGAAGTTGACTAGCATCTTCATAAATTTTAAACCTGTTTGTATATATTTATATTCTTTGTTATTGGTTATTTTTTAAATAAATAAATTAGAAGATAGTTGTATGGTATGTTTCATTATTAAACAGATACGTCCTTTCTTATTCTTACCTGTCAAAGATTGAATTAATACATAGACTACCTGAAATTAATTTCAAAACTGCCGCCTATTAAGATTTAAGTAAAGCTACCTTCAGAGAAACACAACAGTTCTGAATGGCTATTCAAAATGACAAATATGATTGGCGATTTTTAACGCAGTCCAAAATTAACCAATCTAAGGTTTGCCGTAAGTAATGATGAAAAAATAAAGTTTCGTGTGGATGTGCCTTAAGAGTCACTAGGCAGCGTTGAAGGACGTAAAGATAAGATCTAGTACTGTCATACGTACACTTACTGTATCCTTGTCTTCATTGTTTACGGAACAAGTATCGATTGAGACGCGTATGTCGTAGTATTTGACACACTTATAAAGTCATAAATGACAGTTACGCCATTGCGAAGAATTTGAATAAATAAAAACAATATAAATGTGTTTATTAGTGTAAAATATCGTGTATTAATTATTGGTTAATGGTTTATATGTAACGTCAAATAGAATGCCTGCATCGATAGGCGTAAATTTGCGTGTCACTGGGCACTGCCGCCAAGGGGGAAGAAAATATATGGAAGACTTCTTTTCTGTGGCATATCAACAAACAGAGGATGAAAAAGATTTGGAATACGCATTTTTTGGTATATACGATGGACACGGTGGTGCAGAAGCTGCTGCCTTTGCCAAAGAACATCTCATGGAAACTATTATAAAACATAAAAACTTTTGGTCCGACTATGATGAAGATGTGCTTCGTGCTATCAAAGATGGTTACATTGCTACACACTATGCTATGTGGAAAGAACAAGGTATGGATTTGGTAAAATAAAAATGAGATGGAAAGTATATTCCAAGATTTATTTAGTTCTATCAATATTTTTTTTTAGAAAAATGGCCTCGTACTGCATCCGGTTTACCTAGTACTGCTGGGACTACTGCAAGTGTAGCTTTTATTAGACGAGGAAAAATTTATATTGGACACGTTGGAGATTCAGGGATAATACTTGGTAATATTTGCTAAAGACGTTTTAAAATTCGGTACAGTATTTGTATGAAGACTAATATGGATCGTGTTTGTAGGTTATCAGGAACCGGGAAGCTTGGAATGGAAGGCAAAGCCTCTTACGAGGGACCACAAGCCTGAAAATGTGGAGGAAATGTCTCGCATTGAACAATGTGGTGGAAAAGTTGTAGCGAAATCTGGTATATATATATTGATATCATTTAATTAGAGCCTGTTGCTTCATAATAAACAAGAGATAATAATGACGAATGCCTAGGGCCATAATCAGCAAACACCTGCGGAAAAGCAATATTGGTTATCACAAAGATATGGCGTTATCTCAGTTTATTCTTTTTATAATAGTCATTATTAGTGGAGTGAATCATTTTTGTGGCATTTTTCGTGGAGATATGTTCATATTAAGCCAATTGCAAACAAAGCAAGTAAAGGATTACAGTAAATATTTAGAATTTTATTCGATATATTAAAATGTGCATATACAAATGTCACTTTATTTGTATTATTTAGTTCGAATGATTAATGAACTTAAAATGAGACAATCACACTTGTTACTTTCTAGTATCCTTTAAATTTCACAGTAAATACTGAATTTTTTTCTGTTATTTGAGTTTGCCCACGAGCTTTCTTAAATTTCATGCTTGAGTGACGTTATACTTGAAGAAATTAACAGAAATCAAAAAAATTTCCACATTAAGGTGAATGTGCGTAAGTACTATACCCTGGAATAATTTTTGGCACATATTTGAGAAGGATTTTTCTGCTCACTTGTAATTATACCATTTTTGGTTTTTTTTTGATAAAAATTTAATTTTATAATGGACTAAATATCAATACTTATTAACAAATCGGATGTATGATAGGCGTTCCACGGGTGGTATGGAACAGGCCCAAAATTGGCCACCAGGGCCCCGTCCGGCGTTCCACCCCTATCGACGAGATCCCCTTCCTAGCGGTTGCCCGCAGCCTGGGCGACCTGTGGTCGTACAACTCCCAAATAAACCAGTTCATCGTTTCGCCGGATCCCGACTGTTCCGTGCTGAAAATTGACACCAACGTCCACCGATGTCTAATCTTCGGCACTGACGGCCTGTACAATATGCTGAGCCCGATGATGGCGGTGCACATTGTACAGCAGGCGGAACGGCACAACGAGAACGCCGCTCTCAGCGACTCTACTTACAAGACTTGGCTGAACCCCAGCAAGTTGTTGGTGGAGAGGGCTTTGGAGAGGTGGCACGCCACCAAGATGCGCGCCGATAACACTTCGGTGGTGACGCTGATGCTGGATCCGCCCGGACCCCCGCGGGCCCAGGTGCTCAAGGACAGGAAGAAGAATTTACCAGAAAGGGGTTCGAAATTTTTTTTTCTGGCATTATTCTGTTTGATATAAAGTCACAACAGTTGAATCATTTTTTAAAGTTTAAATTTGTTCATTTTTGATGATTGAAACATTTTATCATTCAACAAAATAATCACAGTCTGTTTTAATTTTCCGTTAATGGTATTAGTTATCTTTTCATTAGGTGGTAATGGTGCATTGGGTTTATTGTATTTCCAGGTCTAAGAATAATGACCCGATTCGACGGCAATAATCCTCAGGAAAATAACCCTAACAATTGTGATAATCTCCCGTTAGAAGACACCAGTGGAGAACCTGCTCAAACGGTCTTGGAACGCGTTCCGGAACCGATACTAGCTGCGCCGGAACTCATAGAACCGCCTTCGAGTAACATCGGCAACACCTCAAAGGAAGAGAACGCAGCGGAGTGCTCAACAAGCATCCCGGAAAGCACCCCGGTTTCCTCAAGTGACCTTACCTCAAGCTTTCCTCTGAAGGAGAGGAATTTTTTACCAAAAACCAGGGAGAGCACCAGTTTCGACCCAAGGGAGCCCGTGACAAGGCCTAGTAGCAGCATAGCGGATAATGGGAAAGAAAACTTGAAGGCGTCTCAGAGCACGGACGATAACATCCAGTGTAACGAGATCTCTTCGAGTAATATCGAGGCCGACAGTACCTGCGAGGACGAGGCGGTGATGGATAGTACAAGCAAAATAAGCAGACGCAACCTGAGAAGTGCAAAAACGGGAAAGAATGAGAGTAAATCTGATGAGAATGGAAGTAGTCCGAAGGTAATAATAATAACAATAACAAAACATTTCAGTTACAGAGTAATCCACAAAATTTATTTAATATTTGAAACATACAGTAAGACGAAAAGTTAAACACAATAAAAATAATAATTTCTTCATTGTAAGCGAACCATAAATGATGATTTAGGGATTTTTAGTTGACGATACCAGTCGTGCAATGGTGGTTGCCTAAACACGGCGGTCACGTAGCTTGTAATAATTTATGAAGGTTTTTTGGCTTTGAGTTTTACTCAGTCCTTTTTTATTACTTTACAGACCGCGAAGAGGAAGCTAGAGGCTGACAAAAGTCCCGTCCAGCCAAGGAAGAGCATGCGGATAGATCACAACCAGAGAAAAGCGGTTGAAACCGTAGAAAAGGAAAGGAGAGCCTTCGAAGCCGAGGAAAAACTGAAAAGACTGGCAGAAAAGGCTGATCTCGCTAGAAAAACTAATACAAATTTACCTCAGAAGCTAAGTCTTGCTCAAAAGATACTGAAAAGCAAAAATATCAACCTGAAGAAGAAAAATTTGGTGAAGAAACCAATAACGAAGAAGAAGATACAGATGGTCCTGGAAACGATGACGAGAACTACCACGGCTCACAAAGCGTCCTCGAGCAGTTCAAGAGACGAGCTGACCGTTGTCAGAGAGAGTACAAGTATAGAGAAAAAAACGGGCAAACTTCGTGATAAGATCATAACGACCAAAATCAGTCGTTTCCGAAGGCATTCGAAGAAGAATGTGTCGCAACGCCAAAGAAACGCGAAGAGTCTGCCTAAGTCAGACGAGAAACTTAGCGATATTCAAAGGACCAATAAAGTATCTAATGATAGAAAAGATGGCAAAGATAATACTTCGAGCAAGCCCAAGAACAAGGCATTTGTTCAGAATATGGTTATTCCAAAGAAGAATTCGAAGAGTAGTTCAAATTCGGCGGGACAGGACCAGTCGAGAAGTTTACGAAGTAGTACAAATAGGATAGAAGACACAAAGGGTAAGAATTTATTTTTTTTTATTCGATTAATACCATTAATTAAAGCCTGACGAATTTGGAGATATGACATCATAGAGTTATTATATCATTAGAGGTAGTATGTCATTTATTTGTTTGTCGCAAAGAATAAACTTTTGTTGAACAGTTGGGACCAAGCGCAACAGAGCCTCTGTCGGTGAGACTATGACGACTGTTGATTTTTGGCGGCATTTTGGAATTTATATATTTATATTGTTACGCCTACGGCCCACTCGGTCGTAGACGCACGCTAGGGGGTAGCAGATGGTAGTCGGAGACAAGTTAAAACAAAAACATTTATTGCTAAATTCTGAAATTGGTTTGCCAAACAATTGAAATGGTTCTTACTACACTAAACTAAAAATACTACTTACATTAGCCCAACCCTTTTCATTTCGGGGGAAAGATGTCTTCCACTTCACTTCCCAAAATCGACTGTCCAAGACAGTTCAACGAGCGCGCCACCGCTTTTGGAAAACCGCCGTGTTTGCAGGATTCCAATACCGCCGTGGCTGACCCAATTTGAGTTTATCGCCCGGTCCGATGATTTCGCAATCACCTAGTCATCAAACTGTCTTTTTGTTTAGTCATAAATTTTTATTGTGAAATAATGCCAACGAATTAATTGAATAAATGTGCGAATGGAATAATGGAAATTTACTGCTAAAATAATTATTAATTTTCTTTGAATTTGACAATATTTTATATATTATTTGTAACGAGCGTTCAAATAAAAACTAGGTCGAAGTTGGCTCTGACACATTGGACGTAGGGAGTAGCTTATAGCGACCAACTTAACCTCATTTCTCAACGAGCTGTATAGCAGCTGTCAGTTTCAATAACGTTAATGACTATATAATTTTATTTTAAAGAATAATCGTGATAACAATAACAAACAATTAAAGGAGTTGCAGAAAGTGTCCCCCTCCTTGTTATAACAATAAATTAAAGCAGCTGCTGAAAGTGTCCCCCTCCTTGTTCCAAGCACTTTTCACACCTGTTCCTCAAAGAATTAAAGACATTTTCTAAGATGCTCGGGGTATTGTTAATTTCACGAATCTTGTCTATAAGTCGAGCCTGCAGATGGTTTAAATCAGGAATAGGCAGTTCAAAAATAGTGTTTTTAAGGTAAGGCCACAAAAAGAAATCACACGGCGTAATATCACATGACCTTGGTGGAAATTCATGTTCAGCATTGAGACTTATTAGTCGATTTTGGAAAACTTCCCTCAACATATTCATCGTCTCGCCTGCCGTATGTGCCCTTGCGCCATCTTGTTGAAAGTAAAAGTTTGTAATTTCGTTTTCTTACAGCTGGTTAACAAAAGGAGCGATAATTTCTTCTCTATACCTTTGCGCAGTAAGAGTACCATTAAAAAAAATAGGGCAATAAATCCTCCTTCGATTGAGAGCACACCAAACTCCAATTTTTTGAGCGTGTAGAGGGCCCTCGACAAAAAAGTTATCTGTTTTCTCAGAAGACCACATTCTCATATTCTGTGAGTTTACGTAACCACTTAAATGAAACCAGGCTTCATCAGAAAAAAAGGTGATATTATGAAGTTCACCGTAGTTGTTTAAAAACCATTCACAAAATACAGCCCGTCGCGGAAAATCAACTTCAAGAAGTTCTTGCTGACAAGTTAAACGATAGGAGAACAAACGCAAATCCTTTTTTAACACTGTGTGGCAGGTACCGACTGATACTCCCACCATTTGTGATAAAACACGTACAGAAGTTCTTGGCGCATTTTCCATTATTTGTTGGACATTTTCTTTTAATTCTTCAGTCCGCTTTTTAGGTCGGCCGGTTCCTTCTTTTCTTGTTACACTGCCCGTTTCACGAAAAACATTAACACAACGCTGAACTGCACTTTGAAAAATTTTGTACTCAACAACGCCGGGAAATTGATTTTGAAATTCTATGAAACATTCCTCAATAGAATACTTACATATTCCATCAATCTTGCGTCCATTTCTAAAGTAGGACTCTATGATAAACACTTTTTGTTCTTGAGAAAACACCATTTTAAACGCTTTTTAAAACGAAAATATTCAAATTGATAGCGGCGATATAGCGCTTTGACAGATGACGTTTAAGTTCATTTGCTATACGCTACGCCCTACGTCCAAATTTTCAGAACCAACTTGACCACGTCTTTATTTGAACGCTCGTTATAATGGAGAATTCCCAGGTTGGATTCCAGTGAGGAGACTCGAGACTCTCAGACGCTGTTCTACTCAGGAAACCTGGTACTTCTGACAAATAATTCCGATAATGTAGTATATTTATCTATCTATACAAGTATTTAAGGAAAATAACAGAAAATATCTATAAATGAAACCATTATTTCATTTATGTACTCATTGTTCATATCTTCTATAAATATATCTGGTCAAGACATAGCAGCTTTGTTTTTCGTGTTTTGTTAGACTAGGTTGTTTACTGTCTGAGAACCGGTGTTGAAAATGAGTTTCCCTAATCACGTGAAGATTTTCATCGGCTCATATGTGCATATTATGGAAATTTACTTCATCACGGGTAAATGTTGCCTCATCTGTTGCACAAACATAAGCAGGAAAGTCTACTTGATTGGCACATTGCCGTAAAAAAAACATATGCAAAAACGCATTCATTGATCACAATTCGGGGGTAAAATCTGTTGAACTGGTTGCAGATGATAGGGGTGCAACAGCTGGCGCCTTAAGATACGAGTACGGTACGAGATGAGGTTCCTACTTGCTGTGCGAGTCGTCGAGTACTAATTGTGGGGTCCTCGTCAAGATTTTCCTACATTGCATCTTCAACATTAAGGTTCAGTTGCTGACCACGTCCTTCTCCTCCAGGACTAACACTTCCCGTATCTCGCAGCCGCTGAATGCACTGTAGGATTATATTTGCACATCGGGGGTGACGTTGTGGCCATCGTTCCCGGTATATACACTAACACCATAGTAACACATTCGGAAATAGTGAATGAATTGTTTTCTCAGTTGTAAAACTAGTTTGTGCACAAACTAAAATATTAAGCAAAGTAAGAAATAAGAATCTCGTTTTTAATGTAATGGGCACTCTATTCTTATTTTTTACTTCTTTATAAAAATTACACTGCCACTATCCTGAAATTACAAAATAAAAACTTTTATCTGGAATCTTTCACTTTTTAATACTGATGGGTCGATGAACGATGCTTAATATACAGGGTGTTTCAGGAGGAGATGTACATACTTCAGTATGTTATTCTACGTTCAATTTTAAGGAAAAAATTTCCTATGAACTTAGGTCTGGAAACGCTTCGTTTAGGATATACAGGATGTCAAATTAAAAAAAAATTATTACATTTTCTTTAAGAACTCTCGACTACTTTGAGTTAAATTCATGAAATTTTGTATGCAGAAGTTTCTTGGGAGGGGAAATTGAAATTTTATGGACGATCGGCTGTGTCTCCCAGAGGGTGCCACAAGCAACCATTAGGATCCTTTTAAATCGCTTCATCTTCTTTGTGCCATGGTGTGTCATTTCATATAGAAACACACTTTCCCCTATCTTTTCTACTTAAGAAATGTACACCTTTTTGAAGTCTCTAGGAGCAGCCGTTTCCGTTGAAAACTCATCTAAAGATGATGATGCATGCAAATTATGTATTAGAGTGAATCGAAAGTTATTGTTGTCAGGTTTTGTGCATTTTGTTTAGCGATTTTATTTTTGCAGTTCTCACAAAAAAAATTCAAGCTGTTCTGATTAAAAACTAATAGTTCTTAGTCTTTAAAGTGTTATGCCTCATTTTTCAGATAAAAGTAATTTAGCCAGATAAATAATTTTTGCGTTTTTGTACAATATGCACGCATCATCAATTGTTAGAATTAATTAGAAAAAATAAATGGGATGCCGCTGTTTTTTGAACACAATGTTTTTATTTTTCAATCCGACAAATAATTTACTAAAATTAGCGCCGCTTAAAGATTTATCGTAAAATGCGTGGTTTTTGAGAATAAAACAACAATAAAATAACAAAAAGACACTACTAAATTAATTTTCATCAAAGATTTGGTTAAAAAAATACCACCACCAACTTCAATACACTTCTCAACTCTTACGAAAATATTACGTAAGGTGTTATTTAATTTTATAGGGTGCTGTTTTATTCGCGTAGCTGTAGCCATTATACGACCGATCAACTCGTCACGTGTATTTACTTTTTCATGATTAATTTCTTGTTTCATCCATCCCAAAGTCCATAATCCATTGGAGTTGTTAGGTCTGGAGACCTAGCTGGACAATTAATCACGAGCAATCCATCTCTCTCCAAATTGTTCATTTAGGTTCAAAAAAATAATCTCTTATCCTCAATCAGTGATGCCTGCTCCATATATTACAGCTTCAGGTTCTTCAAAAGTATGGTCTGCTTCTAATTACCCGAGATTTGCGAAAAAGGGACTGAAAAGTAGGTAAACGGCAACTGCACAGTTGACGTGCTAGGTGAGCAGTCAGCGCGTTCCTACTCTTGTCACATTTTTCGACCTGTTCTTGAATTTTCCGACCTAAATAATGGTTTCTGCTGTATCTTCACATGTGTTTACTACAACAATCTGCAGTATTTAGAAAAACGATTTTTTGAACATAAAATACCAGACCAACGCCTCAAGGCATTTGAACTAATTTTTTTTTTTAATTATTAAACAAACTTTTACTCCACAAGGATCAAGCAGTGGTTGTTTTTGCATACTTTGAAGTTTATATGATCATCTTACATTTCACTAAATGCATCACTTCTGACTGACACGTTTCCAAGTGCTCCAAGGCAATGTAATAATAATAATAATTACTCATTGATTATTTTTATATTGCAGAAAGCGAGTCGAACATATCGGTGAAACCACCACCACAAATGCCAAAAATGAAGGAATCGGTCAAAGTTAAAACCCTGCGGAAGAAAATTCAGCAAAAAACGGAGAGCCTTCGGAGAAACGTACTACGTTCTAAGAGTAAGTAATGAACTCCTCGACAGGAGTGTTGTAGAAAAAAGAAAAAATATTTTTATTGTATAGTTTTTATAGATTATATAAATATTTTCCAAAAAAACTTATAAAAGAAAAAACAAAGGGAACTTTTTTTTGTAAATGAAGAGTGAACTGAATTTTATTTAAAAAAATATATATAATATTTTTTTATACACCATACGTACCATAGTCGTTTTGCGTCATATTTCCGTTATACATTAAATGCATAAGTTTAGCTTACAATTGTAACAAAGATTGTTTCTTTAGTATTCTAGTGAGATCTATACAGTGTGTTTATCGATGCAACACTTTCCGTTTGTAATTGATCAGTTTCGTTTTAAATTTCTCGTAAAGATGCTGTATATCTATTCTTAATTGATGGTACCTTGACAAATATTTTAGTGTAATTTAAATATTGTAATTGCAACATTTTATTTATTCCTTTGTAATTCCTATTGTTTTCGGTGGTACGTTTTGTATCACATCGGCAACATTTTAGCTTAGGTTTTTAAAGATTTTCAGTGTTCGGGTTTATATTCCCTATTAAATTTGTTAAGAAGTTTGTAATTTCCGAGAATATCGTTGAAAATCTTTTTGTGTGAAGTTTTATCATGAGTTAAATCGTAGTGCACAATTTTAGTGTTAACTTTAAGTTTGTACGTTATAGCAAAAATTTTGTGCCTTTGTTACCAAAATATTGAAAAATGTTACAACATTGTACACTTAGGCAAATGAAAATATATTTGTAAGAAATTTATTATTTTCTCAAAATACAGTTTATAGTTATATCAGTGTACCGTTTTCTTTCGTCCATCTTTACTTCTCCTCATTTCTACTAAAGGTATTTTTCAGCAAAGTTCACAATTTAAGGGCTCACACCACTGTAACGGCCTAAAAAAGTGTGTTTTTGACAATTTTTTTTTTTTTAATAGAAGGAAAGGTAATAGAAAAAACTGTGTAAGTATGTTATTAGGCATGTGTACAGACAAGTTTTTTCATTAAAAAATATTTCAAAATGGCGGCACTGGAGCCATTCTCCTGAAGCATGCTGCCATCGAGGCGTTCCGCGGCACGCACTATAGCCCAGTCATTATAGACATGAAAGAGCCTGTTTCGTGAAAAAAATACTATTAGAAGTTTCTCTGCGAAATATTGTTCGGAAACCTGTTATTAATAAAATATCAAAAAATCTACTCGAGGCTAGTTGGGAAACTTTGTTTTAACAGTGGTCAAAGTTATGGAAAAGTGGTTTTTTGACTCACGTAAAAAAGCTATTATTCATAGCGAAAAAAAGTTTATACAAAAAAGGTAGGTATTAAATAAGCCTATAAAATGAAAAAAGTCCGATTAAATTCCGATAATTTGTTTATGCACAAGAGCTCAAAAATGGTCGAAAATTGCCGTTTTTTTCAATTGCTAATAATTAATGCAATTTTCATCGCAGACACTTGTAATTCAGGATTTTTGAGGCTTTTTACACCCTTAATAAGTGGTAAAAATTTCAGCTCGAAAGCTTCATTGGTTTGGCGTTGGCGGAATTTGTTATCTAAGAAGATGCTATTTTCAATTCATTTTTCCCAAGCTCACAGGCGTTGTAGGGTTTTGATCATTAGTTGTTTTTGTACCTAAATAGTTGTATTGACATAGGCATTTACTGAGAATTTAGTTTTTCAAATTTAATTTGTTTAAAATTGACTGAAAAAATGTTAATATTTATTAAATTGTTAAGATAGGTAATTATTATAAAATAAAATAGTAACCTCTTTACTTTAGTTTTCTTCGAATTTAAAAAAAAATCGTTGTTGTAAGTTGATTAGAAGCTGAGATAATTTTTTTTATTTATTTAATCGCAGTGACCTTAATTATTAATATTAAGAGCCGAAATTTGGAGAGAGTATACATTAAGAGCTATATTTTCATGTCCTACATTAACATTAAGGTGAATTCAACTATTTAATTTCGAAAAAGAAGATAGCGGCGATGCGTTCTATTACTTGGTCTAGCGAACGAGTGGGGAAGGCGAGGCTTAGCATGCGCGCTTAACGATGTAATAAATATTAACATTTTTTCAGTCATTTTTAAACAAATTAAATTTGAAAAATTAAATTATCAGTAAATGCATATGTCAATACAACTATTTAGGTACAAAAACAACTAATGATCGAAACCCTACAACGCCTGTGAGCTTGGGAAAAATGAATTGAAAATAGCATCTTCTTAGATAACAAATTCCGCCAACGCCAAGCTAATGAAGTTTTTGGGCTGAAATTTTTACCACTTATTAAGGGTGCAAAAAGCTTCAAAAATCCTGAATTACAAGTGTCTGCGATGAAAATTGCATTAATTATTAGCAATTGAAAAAAGCGGACAATTTCGACCATTTTTGAGCTCTTGCGTATAAACCAATTATCGGAATTTAATCGGACTTGTCTTATTTTACAGATTTATTTAATACCTACCTTTTTTGTATAAACCTTTTTTTCTCTATGAATAACAGTTTTTTTACGCCAGTCGAAGCACTAATTTTTCATAATTTTGACCTTGTTTTAACAAAGTTTCCCAACTAGTCTCGAGTAGATTTTTTGATATTTTGTTTATAACACGTTTCTGAACAATTTTCCGCAGAAAAACTTCTAATAGTATTTTTTCCCCGAAAAAAAGCTATAATGATTGGCCTACTAGAACTAGTGCAAATTTCAAGATGAACCAAAAAAAATTTGCTCTTAATCTACATGAGTATAGCTAGAGAAACACGTACGGGATTGTAAAAATATTAGCCCAGTAAATGAAATTTGTAATACATGTAAATCAAAAGGTAATTTGTTTCAGATTGAAACTTGGTTTAATCGTTAGTTTAGGCAAAAAGAAATAATATTTCCCGAAAAGTATCGGTTTAAAACAACAAGATCATTGTTTAAACAATGATTGTAATGTAAAAATTACCAAAAATTGAGTTTTTTTGCTGTATTAAAAAACGCTCTCCAACAGGAGGTTTTGCTTTTGTTTATACTTATAGGTTTTCAAAAATGCTTCATTTGAGACCTAAATTAAAATCCAGGAACAATTTGTTGAAATAATTGCAAAAAACCAGCGAAATTTGAATTTGCTATAAATAGAAGAAAATAGTCTGTAAACTGCAGTAAAAGTTGTTTTTTGTTACGTTTAAGAAACCCTGAAAATTTGGTAAAAAAATATTTAATTTTTGCATTTGTTTATTAGAAATAGCATTTTTTCAATTGCAAAAATGCGGTTGTTAACGTAATAAAGGACCTTATGAGGGCTCATTTGTTTCATTTTGACTTATATTTTCAAAATATGCAATTGGAAATTCTAAATTCATAGGCTTAACCTCCCCAAAACGGCGTATAAACAAATAGTATAATTTGTTTATAAGGTTTTTCGTTAATAACTTTGCGAAGAATGAATATATTTTAAAACCAAGCCATTTTGATAATCGTAATCCTGGTAATTTTTCACGAATTAAAAAAAAAAATTGTTCTAGGACCATTTTTAACCGAGATAGCGTTTTTTTTTTTAAATTCATAACTTCTTTATTTCTAAACATTAAGACCTGAAATTTTGGGAATAAATCAGTCAACCCTTAAACTTCACAATAACGGTTAAAGATATCGAAAAAAATGCATTTTATAGTATTTTTTAACCCTTTAAAAAACGTCCTCGAATACATTTTTATACCTGGAATGTGGTGGGGGAAATAAGACAGAAACGTTCCGAGACTTCAAATCTTAACTGCCTGAAAGCTATTAATTAAATTGATTTTATTTTCGACAACTTTGAAGGTCTGTAACTCAAAAAGCAAAGAGTTTTAACTTTTTTTTTCGTAGATCGTATTTATCGTCTTGAATATGCAGTCAAACGTTGTCGGTGATATTTGCGGACAGCCTGTATACTGCCGTTTCGATTTTTAGAAAATTGAGTACTCTTACTTTGTGTAGGTGCCTCGTACATATATTTATACCCAAAAAGAGAATCTTTTTTATTTAAAGTTGTCCAAAATTGTCGAATTTGTAAGTAGAATTTGGAAAAAGTTGAAAATAAACGAACAAAAAAACCCCAACTTTGCCAAAAAAAGTGCAATCTAGAAACATGTATGAATTTTATTTCACCAAAGTCGAATATTAGGCCTAAAAGTATCTAATGAAGTTTCTATCTGTCCTTAAATATGAATTTTATTAACTGTGAGAGGTAAAATAAAAAAAAAATAATTTATCTGTGAAGTGGAACTCTACATATTAGAGAGTGTTCCTGTATCCCATATTTTGACGATTTACTAGTTTGTAATGCAATTTTTTGTCAATTTGTATTTTTCAAAATATATTAAACTTACCATGATGAAGATCCTTATTGCTTACCAATTTAAGGGTTGTTGCAAGCATCTGGACATCATGAGTATAATTCTTACTAATTTTTTATTTTCATTTGCACTCACAAAATAATAGGAAATAGGATAGGAATATTTGTATTAAAAAATCAATGAAAGAAATTACATTTGCTGTCAAATGTATTGTTATCTATAGAAAAATGTTTTACATAATTTGAGTAATTATATGTACTTTCAAAAAATTTTTGGTGGCCCATTTTTTTACATCCCACGGACCGGATCTGGACTGCGGTCCACCAGTTACCGATAAGTTGTCATTGTATTTGATTTCGAATTTTGAGAAAAAAATTTGAATTCACTCGTTTTTTACACCTATAAAGCAGGACACCTTGTAGATATTATTTTTAAATTTTGACCTTTTGAGGTCATTTGGTGTTAGATAAGAAACAACTTCCGTACAAATTTGAAGATTTTAGTAATTTGAGAATCAGTATAAAAATAAAAATGTTGATTATTTTTATAATTACTAAAACACATTCAAATTTCAGTTGTGTTTTATCCACTTGATACAACCGTTACTTCCAAAAAAAGAATTCTTCACATTAACATACTATTTTCATCCCCAATTTCTTAAGTTAAAATTCCATAAGCAAAAAATACGCACTTCGAAATAAAAAATTATATTACTAATATTGAAACAATTATAAAAGGTAAATGTTGTAACCGTTTATTTTACAAAGTTTAAACTATGGATATCGACAATAATTTACTAATACCATGTGCAATTAATGCATGTCAAAAACGGATTGAAGGGCCAATTCCGGCTTATCGAACCCAAGCTCTTCTGGAGTGCTAATTCCAAGTTCGGTGAGAGTTGGTCTGATTTCTTGAATGATGTATGGGTAGATTTCTCCAACTTTGTTGCCGCACTTATCCTTTACGGCTTCGAGAATCCTCACAGCCAATGCAAAATCGTTTACCCTGCGGCAAGCTTTAAGGGCAGCGATAAGAATTTTTGGCTCTGGGACCATATCGTGACCACAAAGGTCGTTAATTCCCTGTCTAATTTCCCATCCGTCGATATCCTTTCGGTTGAAATAGTTTTCATAACGAGAATCGAACTGTTCGTCAGTTTCCGTACTTTCTTTTGACATGAACCTAAAAAAAAAAATTGTATTTAAATTTGGTTAGGCATTTTCATTTCTTAAATTAAATAATAGAGTTATAAGTTAATACTGAACTTTCGATGGGCAATTTACCTTGAAGATACCACATTTGGTTTGGTTACTGTTAAAGCTGATCTGAAGATAGATTGAGCTCGAATTGCAGTTGTTCTAAACATTTTTATGGATTTTAAATTTAAAATTCACCACAAATTTAGCTTTTCTAAAGTGGAAAATGAGTTACGTAAATTTCCCTTAACCTCAAAACTTATCTGGGCGGAGTAAAAAGAAAACTGTCAGTATAATACTGGTTGGCGACACTGATGTAATTTTAAAAATGTTTAATTTAAGAAAATTGCAATTTCAGCAATCCATTTTATTGCAGTTATATAAGTACACAAATATTAATAAATATTTCTACAAACAATTTCAAATTTATTTCATAGATATTTTATTATTATTCAATAAAAGGTATTTTAAGGATATGATAATTGCCAACATAACTAAACAACATGTTACCAAAACTAAATTTGCCGTCATTTAAAATACTTTTTAAGTTATTAAATTGCTCTTTAATGTGTTTATTAATTAAAGTTTTTTGTGGCTGTGCACTATATACTTAAGTTTTAGTGAAATGAAGGTATTTATATTTTATAAACTTCGATAAATCACTATTTTTCTAGTACTACTATTAATGAGAGGTTAACTCCATGTCAATTTCTTATCTAAACAGAGATTTTGTGCCTTTACACTTTGTGCTTTATTATAGTCACTTATAAGTAAATTTTAATTGTAATTTAGTTTTATATTATGCCAAGAAATCTTTATTTAAAACAAAGCTCTTTAAATTCATAACTTTATGTCGAGTCGAAGTGGCCGTGTCGAGTTCAATGTGCCCAAATTATTTTTAAGGGGTTTTAGAAACTTCCTTTCGTAGAAGAATGAGAAATAGCTTACAAAATCGATTTATACTCAATTTTATTCATTAGAATATAAATTATACGAACATGATTATCAAAATTGTAAAATAAATAAAAAACATGTTAGAAAAAAATTCTGCTAACTTAATATAAATTACCTACTAGATAAATAAACTGGATAAAAGTTATATAATATATATGGCATCAGTTAAATATGAAAATTATGTCTTCATCAGTGCCGTAACACTTTCTTGCTTGATCCAATGATTCCAAGGACATCAAACATACATCTGAAATAACACATCTAATGTAAGCATTTTATCAAGGATAATAACGAATATAATGTTTGAATTCTGCATGCATACAGAAATAATTGTGTTATTTATTTTTATTATTGAATTTTAAGAAATTAGAAACTTACGATCTCCAAAAGATGGATTCCTGTAAAAGACTTTCCTCGTGTGTATGTCGTATCCACAAATAACTACATAATGACCCTGATACGTAGATGGCCAAGGAATACATTTTCTTAATTCGCTAGAAATTTTGTTAAATTTGCATATATCACAGCTGAGAACTCTCGCATTCGTTAATACTATTACAGGTCCATTGACTAGATGGGCTAAAATATCTACTAGTGTCACAGATTTTTTCTTCACGTATATTCCTACATTCGCAGCATCTTTAAACTTAGTTTTTACGCGATGTTCGTCCTAAAAGGAAAATTGATACTACAATATACGAAAAAAGTGTTGGGAATAATAATTTGTACCTTTGTCAAGACGTTGTTATAGAAGCTATTTCCTCTATATCCTTCGTGAACTCCTAGGGTAATCGTGTAAAAAACGTGTTCTACATTGTACTTTTTCAGCAGGTAACATAAATCTATAGTCCATGTGCTGAAATATTAAATGATTTATTAATTATTGCTGGCACTTTTGGGGATTTTTCGTATTTCCAGAGGAGATAGACAAAATGTATTTGAGATTTCACTCCAAATTTGAGAAAGACGAAAATCCCATTTCAATATCTTTGATTTGTTTAAGAGATACCTATAGGGAGTTTAAAATTTTTTCAAATATTTCTTATTAGGTTTTGGTGTAGAATTTAGTGTGTACACAATATTTTTCTATAACTTCTATTCTATTGAAATTAAACTGTTTTATAACAAGTTAGTGTGCCATACATATTTTTATCAATACATCCATCACATACTTAACTGTATCAAAAAAAATACATACCTATGAAAAATAAAAGTTTATAACTGAGCTAAATTTATAGAAAAGTTAATATCTGTACAAAAATGCTGTATAAAAATTATTCGACATGATAGAAACTGGCTAAAAATAAAATACTCCTTGTATCTCTTAAACGAATCGAGATATCGAGATGCAGTTTTCCCCATTCGATCGTTCCAAAACCTTGAGCCCCTGATGTCTTAATTACTCATTTACATTATCTCAGGATATACAAGGAAACCTCCAAAAATGTCAAAGTGATAATAATTTGTAGAATCGTCAAACTTGGTTATCAGAGACTGATTACAACAATTATATACTTAAAAAGAACTTTTAGAGATTATCAAGATTATTTCTTTAATTTGAACAGATAAATGTTTTCTGAGAATCTCTAATTAATAGTTTATGACACACAGTTAACTAAAAGTTACTTAAATTAAGTAAAAAAATTAAATTTGCCCAAGGACAGTTATTCGATATAACACTTGAACAGCACATATTCACTGATAATAGATTATTTTATTATAATTTCTGAAAATAGTAATAAACAAAGAATCAATCATTCGTAATTTGGGAGGAGCAGCAATCTGCAAGATTAATTTCACATTCCATAGACGATTCAATATTATAACACCAATTGAGTTGTGATCTTCATTTTTTTTATTTCATTAAAAGCACTCTAGATAGTAAAATTTATCAATGTGTGATACACAGTTGTTCATTGTCGTTTATTTGTCTTTAAATCTGTCGTACTTACCTTTTGTTGAAACCCTCGCTTTTACAGATGTGTGCAAAATTTTTCAGGAATTCATGCCGGTTCTTTCTCGATAGAACCATCAATACACAGGACACTCCGCAGTCCCAGTTGTATTTCTGCTTGTAATGTGACAGCTGTATGTGAATTTTTTCTGGTTGTCCTACAAAGTAAATTATATAACGAAACGAATAAATATTTTGATTTAACCGGAATAATTTAGGTATTAAAAAAATTGTAGAAAATGTATGGGTAGATTAAACTTCTTAAATATAAACTAACATACCAGGCTTTAAAGCAATCTTCCTCCTCATTTTAACACTGAGCTCTCGCTTGACAAAGCATGTCTTCTTAAACGATATGATGTGGCTGTAGGTATTATCAAAATAATAGCAAATACTGATGTGATGTGCAATATTGATAGACATCAGCACTTCTAAGGATGAAGTTTTTATTGATCAGTTTCTACATTAGAGATAAACCCTTTATCTCTCAGTGTGACCCTCCTGATAAGCTCTAAACGTGTAATAATTAATTGCCGAGATAACACATTGTTTCATGCTGTTTACATATGAACAGAAAAGAGTGTGTAAATGGTACAGCAATGCATTTGTTTGTGTCAATGAATGTGCACTGTGGGCGTTAGTGTTATCACTTACGGTACTAAGCTTGTAACAAAAAGTAAATATTAACAATTCTAAAATATGAGCTTAGCTTTAAATTAACTTAGAGTTTGGTGCACCTACAGCTTTCATGTTCGATTTATTCATTGTTTTTTTTTTTATTAACCCGCTGATGACATCCTCAAAATATGTGTAATGAGTCACAAATTCTCGTAGTTACGATTGGGATTTTATCACAGTAACATTATATCTTAAATATTTTATATTTGTTATAGATTTTGCAGGTATATGTGAATGAAAAAATTAAATAACGTTTTTGAAGGTGATATATCAAATGATTTTGGCAGATTGTTCGTATTCTTGACCTTTTTAGTCTTGTAGGTGAACAACTTGCTCTGTTGGTCAAGATTATCAAGTCTTTTTCACGGTTGCATTTTTATACTTATACAGAGTGTCCTTATTAAAAATAATTAAATGAATAAAATAATTTAAATAAATTAAAATGCACCAAGATGAAATTTATATACAACAAATAATTATAAAGATCGATACTGACACATTTTGAGGATTCAAATGAAATTTGTGGAATAATAAATTTAAGGTCACCTCTCCTGACATCTCCGGAAGGGTTGCACATACAGGGTGTTCCACCTACGAGGGATTCTTCTGTAATTCTGTAACTGTAAAATTTATAAAAATAAATGGTTTTAATGAAAGTTGTATGAAATCATGTGGACAATGTAAAAAAATATTTTTACATAACTTTGTTATTTTAAATGGAATACCCTGTATATTACTGCATATTTTGAACTCCTTGGTTAAATCAGGTAGAGTTTTTAAATGTACATGGTGTTTAAAACTTACCGTTTTCGAGATAATCAGTTGTTTTTGAAAAAAATCACAATTTCAGCTCTCCAAATGAGGCTAGATAGAGTCTAAACCGTAAGAGTTAGAAACCTGCAGTTTTCACAGTTAGTTTTGGCATAAATTACTCTATCTTGTCATTTGTGAGCAAAACATGTACATTATTAAGACTTGAAAATACTGAGACCTACATTTAATAATCTTACGAGTTGAAAAATTTATTTTTCAAACGGAATTACATACCCATATTAATTGTCATGGGTGAATGCAAATTTGAATGCCCTTTCGACTGATATAAGTTTGTCCGTACTTATCTCTAACAGTTTTTAGAAAAATCAGCTTCTTTTCTAAAGTCCAAAAAAGTAGCAATGTAACAGCGTCAAGAAGGCCATGATTCCAGGCAACTTTTATTAAAACCATTTTTTTATAACTTTTATGGTTGCAGAGTTACAGAAGAATCCCTCTTAGATGGAACACCCTGTATATGCACAAAATATTTTCATGGTTAACTGATGGATACAATCGGGAAATTTGTTTATTTATGACAAAATTGAATATTGTTAGTACTTACATTTTTGTTTGATGTTATGATTTAGTTTCCTAAACTTTATAATACTATAAGTTTAAAAAAAAATTTACGCTTTGTGAAAAATGAGAAAACGCCCGTTCGAATGTTAATTATGAAAAAAAAAGTTTTACCCCACTTTCCTGCTTAACACAAGTAGATATACCTTGCTAATATCTGTGAAGTCAACCATTTCCAACAAAAAGGCATTTAAATTGTAAATTAAAAAAAAAAAAATTGTTTAAGTTATTTTTAACGCCATTGGAAAACATGTCTTTTAAAACAGTAGTATGTTCTTTTACTCTTGTCAATTCTATTTACAGTAAAATTGTTAAATAAAGGGAATTTAAAATTTTAATTGCACTGTTTCCTTTAAAGGTGTATTTCTTGCCAATAAATGATTGCTCCTAATTTCGTTTATCAGTGGAGTTGAAAATAACTTAATTTTTTTTATGCATTTACAAATTTAAATACCTACCTTTTTGTTGAAAACGGTTGGCTTTAAAGCTGCTCCTAGCAAGGTATACCTTTTTTAAGCAAAATTTCATTTTCGTTTTTACTCATTTCTTCCTAAATTAATGCCAAAAATATGATACATTTTAGTTTTTTAGTTTTTTTTTTCAATCACATTTCATCTTCATTAAAAAATAAGTATCAGAAAGTCAAATAGTTCAGAAACAAATGCTAATACAGTTTTTCAAAAATTGGTACCTAAAAAAATTGTTGCAAGCTTAGGAATTGCAGTTTTGAAGTTATACTTATGAAATATGTGCATTCTTAGGGTCTATATTTAATGAGAATTATTTCAGCTATATGTGCTTTTCACTTATTATATTAATAAAGCAGATAATTAAACTATTAAAAGAAATAATCAAATGATTTTGAAAATATTTTAAAAACAATAATTTAATAAATAATGAATAGAAATTAATAGGAAATATATACTTACTAAGAAGTGTAGAAAACAGTTTGCTTATTTATTTGTTCTCATAATGATGTGTATTATAAATAATGGTTTTAATAGGATATAAAAAGTGGTTATGATAATTATATCAAGACAGTTACGTAATTTGTTATTTTACTAACACTTGTTACAATAATGGAAACATATTTATAAGAGAGACAGAGATATAAGACGATGAATTTTCATTAAAAAAAAAAAAAAAATTATAATTTAAAACATTGAATTTTTACACTATTTTAAACATATTAAGGTATCTAATTGAAATTTATTCACAGAAACTTTCCCTAAAAAATGCTATCAAATGAAGTTAAATTTATTTGAATTAACTCGATACTTTTATAATACAGTAAGAATGGTGGAAGAATTAATAAAATATATTTTTTTTGAAAATTATTATTGCTGTTAATTTTTGTTGATTTTCAGTGTTAAAATAACTATGGATAAAATAACATGTATTACCCAAAACATTTTCAGTGTTCACCAAAATTTTAAATTTTAATGTGTATGAATTTGAAAAAAATATATGAAATGAGCGTGGGCATAGTAAATTTCAAAGTACCTAGTTTTTTTCTTGTATATTTAGTTGCCTATCTACGGCAAAAAAAAAAAGATGATAATTTTTTACTAGATAGTAGATACATATTTACCAAAAGCCTAAATAATTCCTGGAAATTACGATGAAAGTATTTACATTGCTCTTGTCTGAGCTCTTAGCGGTGACTTGTAACTTACCATTGTATAAAACTTTATCTTCTGCGTTGCAGTCGGTCATGTCTTAAAATCGATTTAAAACCATAAATTATTAATTGAACACCGTAGCAGAACATATTTTTTTCGTAACTGAAGTGGAATAACTGTTTTATTGAGTCTTAATAGTCGTGAAATCTCATTGAAAAGACGGGTAACTCATTTGACCATGTAAAAGCCACAAAGAAGGTTAACTATTAATGGCCTTGGAATATTAAACATTATTTATTAAATAAGACGAGTGGATCAAAATAGCAAGCCTATTTCTATTATACTGGATACAATTTAAACAAGATTTTTCTTATCTGTTTACACCTTACAAATAATAGATAAAAAGTGAGGTTATAAAACGGGGTTATCAATAGGTCAAATTCTATTTTATGGTGTAAACAGGTGTAAAATGTGTATATTGTTCGTTTATGTCAACCCTAGCCCCAAAGAAGGGGAGTACAGGGTAATTGTTGCAAATAATAGGGATGAATACTATCACAGGCCAGCGTTGGATGCTCAGTGGTGCGAAGGACATATTTTAGGAGGTATTTAGGATGTTTCTTACTTATTTACACACATATTCTTAAGCAAAGCCATTTTTTTTACTTTAATACTTGTATACTACATAGCCCAATTACTTAATTACACAATTTTCGTAGTTTCTCTTTAAATTCTGCGAACAGTGAAGTAATTTATTAGCAATATTTAATAACCGTGTTAAAAATTATTTGTCGAGGTTATAGTTCTCTAATAATTGTGTAAAATAATTCCATTTTAATTGAATTGAATTTATAATTAATTAAGATTGAATCTTGGATCAACGTCTCCGGAATAGATGCGTTAGACTTGAATAAACAGAAGGTAATGAATGAAACTGAATTAAAAATTTCCAATTTAGTTTTTAAATTATAATAGAAAAAATAATTATTCATACAGAAAGTTGAAGTTTTTTCTGTGTGTTTTGCAGAATACAGGGACTTAAGATTATTAGTTCATTGGTTTTTTTATTTAAGGCAAGGATATGGAGCCCGGCAGGGAGGGGGGTATGTGGTTTGGCTTCGCCATCAAAGATTTGGAGAACGGCAAAGGTAAAAAGTACTGCATTGCAGCACTATTAAACGTAACGGGAGAGAAAATTGAACATGGCGATGGTAGAGGAAGGATTGTCAAGGATTACCTGACAACGAATCTTAGCTTCGATCAGTATGTTAAAACTTTAGAAGAAGTCAATTTCAGTGGGTTTAACTTTGTTGGAATAGAAATAAGGTTTGTTTGAAAGATTCTTCCGAGTCGAATGCATTTTTTAATTGATATATTTCCAGTAAAGATGACTGTCAAGTTTATCACTACAGTAACACTCCAAAAATATTCTCTGTTTACTCGGGAAAGGAAACTTTAGGGTTTGGGAATAGCCCCACTTATACTCCTCTGACTAAAGTGACCAAAGGCAGATATCAGTTTGAAGAAATCATAAGTAGAGGTTTAAACAATGAAGAATTGGTGGAAGAGCTGTTAAAATTACTGAAAAATGAAACAAAGTAAGTAATTTAAATATTGTGTGATTCCTTGTGCAAGTAATTATTTTTAGACATTTGCCCGATGAGGAATTAGAAAAAAGGAATCCAGCAGCATATTCCCTGTTAAGTTCAATATTTGTGAAAATTAAGGATCCGGGATATGGCACCAGGTCAGTCATTATTTTTACCCGTTAAAATTTTTTACTTTGAAGTAGTCAAATTCAAAAAATTGTTTTAAAGAAATCTTGTCGAATGAAGTAAAAGTATACAAGCTAGGTACATGCCATTGAATTTCACCAGTAATATCTATTAAATAATAATACATAATTATTAGAAAAAATTAATTTATTTGAATTATTTTATTGCCTTTACAATAGAGTAAAAATAAAATAGCTAAAAATATAATATACTAAAACGGTGCATTCATATTGAGGGATTGTTATTGTAAATTCAAGGCATTATGTACATTATTATTTTTCAAAGCATTGTCCATCGTTAGCCACTACTTTTTTCTGTACTTCTGGCAGCTTACAAATTCTGTGTCGAAAAAACAACTCATCTTTTGGTGCTATTCACCAACTGATCCAATTTTTCGTATCTTTGTAAGATTTGAAGGCAGGCAGTAATCCCATGGAACAATATCTGGTGAATATGGCAGGTGGAGTAAAAGCAAAAAAGTAAGAGCATTTCTAAGTATTTTTTGACTTCTTGAGAAATGTGGTTGAGCGTTGCCATGTTGAAAAATTACTTTATCGTGCCTTTGCTCGAATTGTGGCTGTATTTCCTTCAATGCAGGGCTCAAACACATCAATTGTGTTCGGTAACGTTCACCTGTGATAGCTCCATTCAGTTGAAGCAGCTTATAGTACACAACAACTAGCTGGTCCCACCAAATAAAAAAGCTTGAGCTTCGAACCATAAATATTCGGCCTTACCGTCGATTTTAATGCATAACCAGGCAAAACCCACGATTTTCTACGCTTAGAATTATCATAGCGTATCCATTTTTCATCACCAGTGACGATACAAAAAATCCTTTCTTTTTTGCCATTGAAGCAATTGTTCACATCTGAAAAATCGCCGTTGAACATCTCTCAGTGTCAATTCATATAGCACCTTAGTTCCTTGCTTTTGAGTCATACCGAGTGCATTTAAACGTTTGGAAACTGTTGTGCGATCAACATTCAACGATTCAATGAATTCATCTTGCGTTTGACATGAATCTTGGTTGAGTAATGCTTCCAATTCCTCATCTTCAAACTTGACCAGGGCATTATTTGTCAACTGTGTCAAAATCACCACTACTGAACCCTCGAAATTAATACTCACACGTGCTTTGACATGAATACAGTTACAGATGCGATATAGCACAAGTTACACCATCTATTGTAAATCCCTCAAAATTAATTCAGTCCTAATAATTATGTTTTTAAGAATAACTACCATAAGGTGTGATTAACATTTTTTATTGAAACCATATAAGTAATGAATTACATATATATATTTTTTTGTTTTAGGGCACATAGTATCCTTTTAATAGACTATAATTGGAATTTCCAGTTTATAGAACATGCTCTAAAGCAGCCGATAGATATTGAAAACCCCGAGTGGAATATAAACAAGATCCAATCGAGACTGTAAATTAGTATTTTTAAATCTGTTATATGTATTTTGTTGATTTATTATTTTATTATTTATGTAGTTTTAGTGAAATAAGAGTACCATTTATAAATCTTGCAAAACTAGATTTTGTTTTATTTTTCTAATAAAACTAATTTTTTGTTCTATTTTTTTAAATTATTTGAAAGTAGGTAAATCGTTAGTGTGTCGAGGATAAATAGCTGCTATGCTGCTAAAAAACCACAAACCTGAAAGTCATAATCTAGATTATAGGTTTGTGTTCCACACCCTGATTCTTCATAATGGTTAAATTACAAATCGCATTGAATTGGTTTCTGCGTGCCATAGAACCCTTATTGCGTCTTGATTTTAGTAGTTACAGCGTCATATTACGAATGACTATAATTACTGGAACAAATGTATATGTTGATACATTTATTTGGAAGGGTCAATTTGTGAGCAGTTATTGGCAAATTTAGGACTAATATACATCGACGAATTGTTGACGATCTTTTTTTCAACACAATGTTATATAGGTCCATTCAGTTATATCCACAGAAAACTTATACAGGATGTAATAATATCTGTTTCGTTAGTAATTTAGTATTGTGGCAAAATATTAACGCAAATGTAAATTTGGAAGAATACAAAGAAAGCAGAAGTTCAAGAAGGTAGTGAGGTTGCTCCTGATTGAAAAAAAAAAAGTATATCACACACCATATTTGCTAGAAGATATAATTGGAACTATTATCTATTCTTGATTATTTTCTTGCAACCTCCAGATTCTGAATTCAATTTTTGAATGATTTGTTTTGTAGAGCTAACAATGCTAAAACCTATCAGGATCGCAGAAGGTCGAGGGGGTATTTGCCATTCCACCATATCCATCCTTATTCCTTTTTATCTTCTCCCACTCGCTAGTATACATATTCAACGCCTCTTTCATTTCATAATCTGATACTCAAATTTGATTTATAAATCCAATGATCAGGATAGTAGAAGGTCGAAAAGGTAGTTTACTTACTCCTGCTAAAAAAAAAAGGAGGTATACGTATAACTGATACCATATTAGGAGAGAATCTGAAAACATATCTATCATGGTTTTTTTTACCTCCTGCATTTAATAATCTCATACCTGTATTTAACGTTTCAGTACTATTTTCATGTAAATTTGCAAGAATACGAAGAAAGCAGAAGTTCAAGAAGATAGTGTGATTGCTCCTGATTGAAAAAAAAGTATACAAAAGTAATACACACCATATCAGTGTTGCCACATACCTAGTTTTTCGAGCGAGTGGTCCTATCAAAAAGGAACGATATTTTATTTAAGAGTGAGATTTTTAATGTTGAAATAAATCAATTAATAACTCTACATTAACTTATGTTAATCAGCAATTAAAATGTTTAAGTAAAATTACAACAAAGATAACTTAGTTTTGGGTGGTATACTATAAAGCAGCTACATAAACTTTAAAAGTGGTCTATACTACAAGAATATCACTAGATTATAGGTATAGCTCCATAGTTTTTGTCAGTAGGTTTTTATTAATTTTAAATTTGAATAAAGACTTCTGAAGAAATTAAAAATTCAACTCTTGTTATTAATGTTTCGACGTTCCGATTCTGACCTGATTCGGTCTGTATCTAAGGCAGGTTAGGCAACCCTCTCTATTTCTCTGAGGCAACCAAGTTAAGTTATTTTATTACACAGACTGTCTAAATATGAATTAATACACAAATAACAGACTTTCCTCCATTCTATTGAAACTCAAATTACTTCTTGTTGTAAAGAAATTTGTTATTTGCCGCTTTTGAACAAGCGGTATCGTAAATTACAAATTTCTTTACATCAAAAAGTAATTCGAGTTTCAAACTAAATCCATTTTATAAAAAATCTACGTTAAAATGGGGGAAAGTCTGTTATTTCTGTATTAATTCATATTTAAACAAACTGTGTTATAAAATCTATAAAAATGTATTGCTGGATTTGATAAAGAACAGCGAGTGAATTCGAAATAAAAAGAGCGACACCTTGCTCGATTGAGCGAGCTGTGGCAACACTGCACCATATCTGCTAAAAGATATAATTGGAACTACATATATCTTATTCTCGATTATTTTCTTGCTACCTCCAGATTCTGAATTTAATTTTTGAATGATTTGTTCTGTAGAACTTCATAATATAGAGCTAACAATGCTAAAACCTATCAGGATCGCAGAAGGTCGAGGAGATATTTGCCGTTCCACCATATCCATCCTTATTTATTTTATCTTCTCCCACTCACTCGTATACATTCAACGCCTCTTTCATTTCATAATCTCCGGATACTTGAATTTACTATCTCTAATATTTCATATGAATTTGGGACAATTTAATTTGTAAAACCAATTATTTGGATACTATCAGGACAGTAGGAGGTTGAAAAGATATTTCCTTACTCCTGCTAAAAAAAGTAAGTTAAAAGAGAGAGACTAGAGAGAATTTGAAAACGTATCTATCATTGTTTCTTCTACTTCCTGCATTTAATAATCTCGTGTTTAACATTTTAGTATTTACACTATTTTCATGTAAATTTGGAATACGAGGATAGCAGAAGTTCGAGAAGGTAGTAAGGTTGCTCCTGATTGAAAAATATTTAAGTATAACCAATACTACATTTGCTTAAAAGATATAATTAGAACTATGTGGATTCTTGTTTCATTTACCTCCTTCAGAATCTCCTAGTAACAGAATTTATTTTTTGAACGGATTGATGATTATTCAGAAAAATTTAGTCACAGGATCGTAGGAAGTTGAGGAGGTATTTGCTGCTCCTGACAGAAAAGAGACAGATATAACTGGACACCTATTCCATTTTATAATCTCCAGATACCTGATTTTAATTTTTGAAGGATGTATTTATGTATGTACAATCAAATTTGGTATGAAATTAGAACTTTGGGTATACATATTATTAGAGATGGGCAATGGGAACATTTTCCGTCCCAGAAAGTTTCCAAAACGGAAATTTTCCGGGAAGAAATAATCGAAGCTTGAGAAATTTTCCCTGGAAAGTTTCTGAAAAAATTTCCGTTGGAAATTTTGCGGGAATATTTCTAACAATTTGTAAACTTGAAGCCAATTTTACTTCTAACTTCTATGAACATACACAAAAAATCGTTGGTTATTTCCAGATTTTCTGTTAATTCGAAATACCAGAAGATCATATTATCCAAATAAGTTAGAAAACACTTACACTTACTTATTTTAATCTCTGTTAAGTCTACAATCTACATAATAGAGAGCAATACAAGACTCATAAATTGCCTCATTTTCAAATTTAATATGAATTTTGATAGTTGAACCAAAGTACAATTACATTTTAAAACTAGTATAATTATTTAATGTATTTACTATGTTTGTTAAAAAATAAAGATAAATATTGTATATTGTATACTGTACCCTCAGCATGTAATTTTTTCTAACGGATGATTAATACATAATTTATATTTTTCCAATATTTATACCAATATAAATAAAAATGTATATAAGTATTTGGTCTTTTTGGAAAGCTGATGGTATGTAGAACACAATACCAAATCCAAAAAAATTTTTTTGAAATTTTCGGAAAACTTCCGGAATTTTCAATGGAAACTTTCCAGGAATTTTCATAGTTTAGGAATTTTCCCATCTCTACATATTATAAAGAACCTGATAAAACCAATGTCTGGATATTTTGTATCAGGATAGCAGAAAATCGTGGAGGTATTTCTGGCTTTTATTATTATTATTTCATTTGTCATACTTACCTGATAATTTCCCTGGATTAAAAAACTTTCTTAAGTCCTGGTAATCGCATCGATTGTAGGATTATAGAAAATGAAAAAAAAAAGATTTTGTTGGGAAATGTTTTTGTAGGAACTTCTAATTTTAGGGTTGCTGTAAAGTCGAAACGATAAATAATTAAAATGCAAACGGAATAAATAATTGTATATTCAGAAAGCAATATTTTTATTTTGTGTAAACATACTTTAAAAATGTAGTAACAACTGAAATTATTAAAAAAGAGTTATTATGAAAATAAATTACCCAAAAATTTTACAAAATAGAAGGGGACTTTTTTAAGAATTCACAATATCCTTTTTTTTCCATTAAACTAAATTTAAATAAATATATTCATTTTATAACTAAAAAATATTAAGACACTTTACAGTATGTAAAGGAACTTTCAACAGAGTCAATTACCTATTTAAGATCTTTTTTTACAAAATATATAGACTTTGTGAAATAAAAAATAACCAAAGCAAAAAACAACAAAAAATAACAACTATTTTACAAATCATTTTGAGTTAGAGTCAAGGCTTCGAATTACTAGGTTAGCTGGAATACGGAAAGCAATGAATAATTGTTAAGGCTGGAATTTACCGAAGAGACACAATTTGATACACTCCGCTATTAACATTTCAATTTATTCATAAATATATTAAAATTATATCCTAATAGCTTATTAGACACTAATATATTTTTTAAATAAACAAATACCTGATAACTTTTTAATAATTAAATACATACAAATATAGGTAAAAAATATATTAAAAATTTTATCAAATCGTTCAGAAAACTCCAGCTTTAAAGATATTTAAAAAAAATCGACACAGTCGTAAGCACTTTTAATACAGTGTCACCGAAAGCAAACTCTTCACGTTTTCCTTTTGCAGATATGAGCTACTCTTCACAATATATCACAATTTTAATCGAAACATTAGATATAGTTATATATTATACTTTACATGGTATGCTTCCCAGGTAGTCTCACTTACTTTAAGGTTAAATATCGATTAAAAAACTACGCAACAATAAAAAATTATTCCAGAATAAATAAAATGGTAAATTAGCGCATTCCTATCGTCTAAAATCATGAAACTGTCTGATTTTTGGTGAATAAATGCTAAGAAAATAAATAACGAAAGTATAATAGATACATAATACGAGTAACGGTTAAAAACTTGAAAAAACTTAATTATCTATCGCGTGTCCTTTAAAATAAATGAGACGCGCAGAGAGAGAGAGGGAAAAGCCCTAAGTAACAAATATCAACCCAGCAATAAGGAAACAAAAGCCTTGATAATTTCCTAAACAAATGAAATAACAATGTGTACTTGATTTAAACGATTTACATTTTGAAGAAAAGTACTCGTATATAAAATCTAGCGGTAACCTAGCTAGACCTGTCTAAATTTCAAAAATAACTATTTTAGCCATTATTAAAAAACTAAAAAATGACTTAGCTTCATTTTAAAATATTACAGCTATCATACATATACATATAGACGGTTCTTAGAGTTGGGGCAGCTTGAAACCGGCTTCAAGTTGTACAACAATAAAAACGTCCGTTATATACCTAATTATTATTTCTTTAATAAATAAACATAGTTAAAGGGCTAGCTTTAACATTGATATCTATTTAATGCTTGAAATAAAGCCCAGCATGTTTCTGTCCGAAATTTCGCTAACGTTTGATAACCGACGTGCCTGCCGTCTTCCTAACATTCCGAAGAACAATTACAATTATATAACAATCTTCCAACAATAAAAAAACCGGGACGGTTCCTCGCGAGGCCAATCTTAGGAAAACGACTCGACAAAAACGATTTCTCAACAGTACTACTTAATAAAATAAAACGTAAAATAAATTAGTAACTTTTCCGTTAAAACGTAACTATTTAAATTGATTCCGCAGAAACACACTGTACGAAAAAATAAAATCCCTATAGAGTATACATCAAAAACGTTTCTTAGTTAGATATATTGCAAACGCTAAATTCCCGCTGTATAATTCTCTCTCGAAATAGCATTAGCATTATATTTATAAGAAAAAAAGCATACACTCATTATTACATATACTTTTTTTTTAACTATTATTATATAGACACTTTTTACATATTTATATTTGTAAATTTTTACCAGAAGGATGAGATTATCTTTTCTAAAATAAAAAGTAGTTCAAGCCGAAGACCGTCAAAGAATAATTATTCGTTCAACAGAGTTAGCGGTACGCCGTGACACGGGAAAGCGTCGGGCGCGCCAGAGCACAGAACCAAAAACGGTAAGAAAAATCAACTAAATAATATTTACGTTTAAACATATAAATTTACTATCATTACTTAAATAAGCCGGTTTTACTAAGGGCACGATTTTTTTATGCTTATCAGATAACATTGAAAAAGAATCGGAACCCCCGCACCAAATCATAAATTAATTAGTCTAGTGAGAATACGTCTACTTTTACTTTCGCAACGTAACTTACTTCTTTACTACAGTCGCAATACTTATTTGGCATATAATCACAGTTACTAGATAAATATTTTTTTGTTTTTCTTAAAATTTTGTCTTATATAATTCGTTTTGATCTTCGCGGTTATACAATATGAAGCGGTTCGACTTAAAAAGTGAATACAATGACAAGGAGAAGATTACGTTAAGTACACGTGCAAGGCAATTCAAGAGACGAGACTTTTTGGTTCTATGCTCTACGAGATTAGATGAAATTTCGTTTAAAATATGTCGGAAAGTACTTTTTTAAAAATAGTTATTTTTGACGATGTTCAACTGAGGCGCCTAAGTGAGTTAAATAATAAATAATATATCTCTGGCCCCAAAATGCATCTGACGTGTCATTTCGGGGCCCCGTTTGTTAACTATCCCTTAATATTGCTGATTCACAAAAAAATACAGAGTCCATGTCTTGGAAAATTCGAGGTTTGGTTTTAGACATATTTTTTATTTAATTTGCTCCCAACATTACTCGCCTAATCGTCAGACCGATTCAATCCTCATCTATTCCGAACTAATACTTCACCGCCCTACTCTTCGTAAATACACTGGATACTTATTGTTCCTTTTTTTTTTCAGTTTAATCCGTTTTTTGTACAAAATTTAAAAGTTCCTCTTTTTGACTAGTATTATCAATAACACTTTTAATGTCCCAAGCACACTAGCACTTATTTTCATTAAGACTCCTCTGAATAGTACTGTACTTTACCGTTAGATTGGTTAACTATCGCCTCCCAAGCTGCAAAACAAAACAGTCAGGTCAATCGGAAAGTATTACACAATTTGAGAACAATGAAAACTTTCTCAACAGTTACGGAATACATATTCAATATTAACACGTTGACTGCGGTACATACCTCGGGGGGTATGTACTCATTATAAAAAATATGCGAATCTCAATAATCATATTTTTACTGTATCTTGTGGAAGTTGCAGAGTCTACTTTATAGAAATAATGATTTTTCTATTATTTTCTTTTCAAAACTCTTTGCGAATGAAAACGTTAGTATCCTAGGATATATAGTTACAGATACATGCAAGTTTATAGCAATAATTGTGTTATTTTTAATTTTATAGGGTCAAATGTAAAAAACATTACATATCCCCAGGGATATGTACCGCACACAGAAGAAGTTTTGTTACATATCCCCGAAGATATGTATCGCAGTCACGGACAAAGTACGTTGAGATTATCTCGCAGTCAACGTGTTAAGGGGCAACGTCACTGTAAAATGTTGTTTTTTGATGGGAAGGGAAAGTAAGAGGATAATAATATTTAAGGATGATATTAGCCATGTCTAAGTGTTCAAAAAATTTATATTTATTCATAAATAGTACAAAATGGGGCTGCTGGAGCCATTCTCATGAGGCATATTTAATTTGGATACAAAAAAAAACAAAAAGAATGAAAATTGTTGGAATTATGCTGTGCTGTTTAAAAAAATCATATTTTGAGAAAAACCCCTTTAAAGTTTTGAGATATAAGCTATAATAAGAGTATTAGTTCAGGAAAATAAGGAAAAAATGAGTGAACTTTTTTACCATGACATTTTTTATAGAAAATGTCTAAGTTTTGATGTCAGAAAACATGTGTCACCACCAGCAACTTAGAACGTTTTAAAATATTGATGAATTTTTTGTGTTTTTTGACCAAAAACTGCCAATATCTTAATAAAGATGCATTTTTTCGAAATAAAGTTTCATAAAAAGTTTCCTGCAAAATTGCTCCAATGAAAAATTTTGATTTTCCCAATAGTTTTAATGTATATTTTTTAAATGAAATACAGATTATGTGAAAATTAATGTTTTGGAGACAAAATTATAGTCGATTCATTTTTAAATAACAAAACTGAATTAGAGAAAAGAACAGTGGAAAATTCTTGAAAAATCATATAGTTTTCAGAGGTTTGAATATTGACAAGCACGGTTTCGAGGGTGTACATTACGAATTAATTATGTTCTTTTTTAATATTTTCCAGGAAAATCTGTTATTTTTGTAATTTTTAATTTGAATATTAATATAATATAATGAAATTGAAAATTCAAACTTGATGACATTTTCTGGAGCTGCGAAGGTATAATAAAAAAATATATATATCAATTTTTTTTGAAAACAACTTTTATTTTTATTTTTTAACAATTTAGACTTCCATAAACAGATTTTTCTGGAAAATATTAAAAAACACATAATTAATTTGTAATGGAAAACTATATAAGATTTCCCAAGAATTTTCTTTTCTCTAATTCACTTTTGTTATTTAAAAATGAACCATTATTTTGCCTCCAAAATATTAATTATCACATAATCTGTACTTCATTTACAAAAATATATGGGAAAGCTATTGGGAAAATCAAAATTTTTCATAGAGGCAATTTTGAACAACTTTTATTTGTTTTTTTCGAAAAAATGTATCCTCATTGAAATATTGGCAGTTTTTGGACAAAATAATGCGAAAAACTGGTGCTGGTGGGATGATTGCTGGTGATTGCGTGTATGACATATGTTTTATGACCTCAAAACCTACACTTTTGTATAAACAATCTCAGAGTAAAAAAGTTCGCTTATTCCGTCTTTTTATGTCTAACTTTCCTGGACTATATTAGAGAAGTTAGAAATCAAAATGTAAGTCATTAGTCTGTAACCTTCCAACAGGTATCCATGTGCCTCAGGTAGTCGTTTTTTGGAGTTATCCGTTGCGCTTGGAAAGAGCTCGGAATTTCAAAGAAACAAATTTGTACAGAATAAAACTTCTTTCTCTTTATTCTGAAGATTCAAAGCATCTTTTAAATCAATAAGAAAAAAAACATGGATTTTCTGAAAATAATACAGTGGTCTTACCCCTTAATAATAGTTGCATATTTTTAAAGTGAACACACTGAGTCTGTAAAGCAATGTATGAACTCAAGAAAGGGAAAAACACACTGTTACATGTTTTTTTATTTTTTCTACAATAATTTAGAGCGATGTTTTTTTTTAACATACAGTGGTTGTTTTTATTCAATTTTGGAAAACCCTTGTGTTTAAAAATTAAGAAACCTGTCTTTGTTAAGCTTTTTTTTTACTAAAAACTTTTAAACACCTACACAGAACCCCAGAGTAGTGCAAACCTGCCATTTTGGCACCAAAAAATGTATCAAAGTACCGTTTTTATAAAATGTAATTTTATCAGTAATACAGTTCTTAAAAAAAAAAAATGTATTTTATGAATACCAACCAGGACTTTGAAATACTTTCATTTATAATATAACTGAAATAATTAATTGATTAAATTCTCAATCGAGAACAATTAAAAAAGTTCTAAAGGAAAATATACATACAGGATGGGCCAAATTTAACAATTTTGGAGCTTCGTTTGTTCCCCACAAACATAGAGAAAAATTTAGGTGTCATCGGCTTGATTTCCAGGAAAAGTTGAAAACCACATTTGAATATCTTGATTCATTTCAGAGATACAGCACATTTTTTTAGTCATTTTCTATGATGCCTTATTTTTTTTTGTGAAAATATTGTATATTTTGCAGAACGTTTAATGTTGAATACATATTTTTCTACAACTTTCGGTTCTTATAACACAAACTTATATTTTCTTTTATGAAACACCCTATGTATTACATTTTTAGACTTTCGAAATCTGGAAAATTTCTTTTCAAATGATTTACTATATTTGCACAAAAAATTTCTTTCAGGGAATATACAGGGTGTTCCTTAATGATATGCGAATATTTAAGGGTGCAATTCTACATGGAAAATTAATCATAGTTTGTTTAAAAATTTTCCATTGCGAAAATACGGGGTGTTAAGATTTTAAGAAAAACAAAGACATTAATTATTTTTGAAACCGCTTGATTTACTTCAAAATGTCAGAAATGCAAGTGACACATTCTAGGCCAACTAGATTGCAAAATTGTATTCAATAATTACATTAATTAATTACAGACAATACAACGGGTTTTATTTTTTTTTACTGAAAAACAGCGCATAGCGGACAAAAACTCAAGAGACCTCTTATATTTCCAATTGAACGGGGATTTCAAAAATAATTTTATTTGGGAATAAAAATGTTAGCGTTCCATTTTTTTCTTTAAAAATATCAAAGTCAGTGCTCGTACGCACGCCATTATCAGAGCTAAAAATTATGTTTTTATTGAAAAATATTCGCCTTTATTACCTAAAAAAATATCTAAAACCGTTTAAAAAATAATAATTGATTTCCTTCCTTTTCCTAAAATTTTAACACCCAGTATCTCGCAATGGAACATTTTAGGACCACAGTTTATAAAGCAAACTATTATTAATTTTCCATGTAGATTCACACCCTTAAATATTAGCATTTCATTAAGGAACACCCCGTATACTAAAAATTATATTTTTTTGTTATTCAACTGTTCCTTGACACAATCAAGTGTGCCATGTTTGATGTATCAAATAAAAAAAAAATAATACCAGACACTGAGCTGTAACAAGAAATTGATTTACAAAAAAAAATTTCAGTCTTCCTACAAAATATGTAATATCTTAATTGTCAATTCTTACAAGCACTGGCATAGAGCGACCTACTAACCTATGAGGTACTATGAAAGCATTATTAGTGTCACATTAGGCGAAATAAACTTTTAAGTAACGACGTTGTGGGAAACAACTACTCTGCCGGCTACACAGGGTTCATAGTTCAAAAGTAATAAACAATTCCCTGACTTTTCCAGGTTTTCCCTGACTTAGAAAAAAATAATCCAGGTCACTTGTAGTTCATTTTTACATACTAATTGGTGTTTATGCATTAAATTTTTTCTCGACTGGACTCCATAATATTTTTTATACCCTAACAACCTCTTATAAAGGTTTCAAAACCACAAATAGTTTTCTCTTTCAAGAACGCAGGGCCGGCTTTCACAAAATTTCCAGTTGCAAACATCAAATTCCCTGACTTTCATGAATATTTTTAAAATTCCCTGACTATTCCCTGTTTTTTAAGAATAAAAAATTCCCTGACTTTTCCCGGTATTCCCGGTTTTCCCGGCCGCTACGAACCCTGCTACAGCCCCGACCAGCATTGATTGCAGGCGTAATTCAATGCCGTATGAGACTATAGTCCGCAGAGTAGTTGTTTCCCACAACATCATTACTTAAAAAATATATTTCTAATTGAACAAGGTAATCGAAGGCATCATCAACGAGACACTTGTTATTAACAGACAAAAAAGACTCACCCGATCCTATAAAGTTGACAATCTTGTCATGATTATGCGACGACTGCGAAAACACTTCCGGCGCTATGTACCTAGATATGAAATTCTCACAGATGTCCTCGTTCAGCAGCTGTTCGTTTATGTCGAAACCGAACACTAGCCCGGGCACCTCCTTGTTGCCCACCCCACTCAAAATAACGACCGGAGGGGGGCCCTCGTCCTCCTCGCTAATGGTTCGTTCACTATTATCACAGTTAACACTATTTATATTTATTTCGTTAGTAACTACGTTCTGGGTCGAGTTTATCACTGGAGGGGGCACGGCGGGGGGCGCCGTCGGGGTGACGACGAGCGGTGGGGGCACTTGTGGGGGCACTGGCAACTGAGTGGGGTTTGAGGGACGTTGGGGCGGTGGCAGGTGGTGTTGAGTCTGAGCCGGTTGGTGCGGCGGCGGCGGGCGATTCATAAAGTGCATTTTCTCGATGGTCTGAACGTCGGGTATGTCCGGGGGCATCATCTGGGCGTTGAATTGGATAGATTCCTTCTCATTCGAATGGATTATCTGGGAAGAAATAAAATTGGGTTGAGAAATGGTGTAAATCATTTGATCATTCGATTAAGGCACAGTATTTTGAGCCTTATTAAAATTGGGCATTAATTAATGCCGATTAAATAATTAATATCCACTTCACTTATTAGACCATTAAGCCGGACTAGAAACATTTGCAAAGGCTCTACATTAAATAATAAATAAATCGGTGTCGCACTGAACGGCATTGCTGTTATACTGATATGCTATCTATACGTGTTCTTTTTCATATAAAAAATCAAGAACGAAACTTAAATTTAGAATATTTATGTTCACTGATCAGATCATAAAAATTATCTATGACATCTCTAGATAAGCGAGCAATTAGTAAAGGGGCTGAGCCAATGTTATAGGTACTTATAAACAAACGTAAAAGGGGGACAGACAAGCTGATACATACATAAGATAAGAATAAACAATGCATCTTCAGACTTCTATCACAATTTATTAGGCAAAAAAATAATAAAATTATATAACTAAACATGTAACTTGATTTGTAGCAATTAGTTGTTCTGTTTGTTAAAAATCGCAAATAAAAAAGTAATAATTTTTTTAATTAAGGCCGTTCACACCCTTCATAGTTTGCGAATTTTGGAGAATTGGGTATTTCTGTCGCATTGGAAAAATAAAAATTGAATAAACCAAGTGAATTTTTAAGAATTTTAGAGTTCTGATTTTTTTTTTGTTAAAATGTTAAAAATACAATTTTAATTATACAGGGTGATTCACAACTTATCGAAAAAAAATTTGGAAACAGATGTGTCATTGAAAAATGCAGTAAATATCGTAAAAAAACTTTTTGTAAAATCCTTAGTTTTCGAGAAAAAAAATTATTGAAGTTGTAGTATTTCCAACCCTTAAATTGCTGGGCTATTGTAGTCTCTAGTGTCATTCGTATTGTGCGCTTAACTTGGCCCTAGGCTATTCCGAGCACCAAAATTCGATTTTAGTATTAACATTTTTGTGATAGTGTTTACATTAGTTTTTCAAGCGTCAAAAATGGCTTATATGTATAGCAACTCGGAGTTGATGGATATCGTTTTATGGTGAAGCAAAACAACAATTATGTTAGTTTGTAGAAATTGGGAAAGACACACCCAAATGTGTTTACACGTAGATCGACAAAATTTTGAACAGTTGTGGTAACATCAGGCATGCCAAATTATTTTATTAATTAATAATAACAATAGCGACAAAAGCAGTTGAATTTGCCGATATAAAGTAGGTGTAACAAAATTTTATTTATTTATTTAGTTCTGAATTACCCTGTATGTGTCAAAAGTTTAAAACAACATTGGCACCGAAAGATTTTCTATTTTCTAAAGGCTCCTAACAAATATATTCGAATTTAATAAAAAATTCTAATAAACCGTGTTTCTTAGAAGCTACTTGAGTTTTTTTGTTAGAAATTTTATTGGCAATAAAAATATTCACTGGTGTAGAAATTCTGAGGCTTCTAGTGGTACTGACCCGTCGTATCGCCGCTACTGGTCGACATATTTGTAAGTAAACTTAGTGGGTTTTTACTTCTACTTAAATAAACCGTTTGCTAAAGTTTTATTAGTCTACATGCATCGAACATTTTCAGAGATATTTCAGAATACGTGATCTCGGATATTTATTTCTAATTCAAAACCCTGTATCGTGAAAACGATGGGAACTACGAACCACGTTCATATGAAGCTTTTTGCATAAAATAATTAGTTTTATTGTCCTTTTGAAGGAACATAAGAAGAACCCTTAATAAATTTTTAGTTAATACGATCGGGGTTTTCAAGCTAAGAATGAATGTGTCGATTAGAAAATTTTGCATGTATTTTAACAAATAAGTGACGGTAATCGTTTATATACTGAAATTAAGCAAGCTTTAATTGGCGATATCTCGTCAAAAAAAAGTCTTATCGAGAAGATCCAAAATGGGAATTAAAGATGTACTTTTAAAGTAACATATACAGCAAGGGTCGGCAACTGGCGGACCGCGGGCCAGGTCCGGACCACGAAAGGTAAAATACTGGACCGCCAAAAATTTTTTGAAAGTATAAATTACTCAAATAAATTATTTAAAAAATGTTTTTTACGTTTGAGTGCCAGCCTTATCATTTTTTCTAGTATTTTACAATTGTGTGAGTGTTTTGAGTTCTTAATGGTTAGTAAGCAGATTAAATTTAAGTTCAAATGAAAATTTGTAAGAAATATGAACTTTTTTCTGTACCTCGTTAAAAATTTTTAAAAGTATCCGGACCCCACCTAAAATTACTTGCCGACCCCTGATATACAGTACTGAGCAAAAAAAAATGTGTGTGACATAACCTCAAAAGTAAGTCAAAATGGCTTGTTTCAGATATGTTTGAATATCTCAAAATGAAGCAATTTCCATGAGCAATATTGTATCGGAAAACACTACCAGACTCAAAAGAAAGCCAAGAGGGCTCTACACCAAATAGGCAACCAGCAATACATTTTTATAGATTTTATTACACAGTCTGTCTAAATATGAATTAATGCACAAATAACAGACTTTCCTCCATTCTAACACAGATTTTCTATAAAATGGAGTTAGTTTGAAACCTAAATTACTTTCGGTCGTAAAGAAATTTGTAATTTGCATCCTAAATTACAAATTTCTTTACATTAAAAAGTTATTTGAGTTTCAAACCAAGCTCACTTCATAGAAAATCTGCGTTAAAATGGAGGAAAGTCTGTTATTTGTGCAATAATTCATATTTAGATAAACTGTGTAATAAAATCTATAAAAATGTGTTGCTGTATTTGCTATAGAACCCTCTTAACTGGGAAAAAAAAATTGGCAACCGATTAAATAAAGATAACTTTGAGGGTATGTTAAGTTTTAACATAACCTCAAAGTTATCTTCTTTTTCATCGATTGCTCAACATCTTATAGAAAGTGGAGACGACTATTTTTTAAACTAAAATCGACCTCACTTTCTATGAAAAAAAAACTTCATAACATTAGAAATTATATTTAACAGATATTAATGATTTAAAAAAAATATTACTCACCGATAAATCATTCTGGATATCGTTCTGAACGACACAGGCAGCAGCACTCGCGACCGCAACGCTAACTTTCACATTATTATTGTTATTGTTAGTACCAGTACCCTTGTTAACGTTCTTACTGCCGCAGGAAACGTTTTTGACCTTATTGTTAACCGTGTTTGTCTTATTGTTCGTTTTCTCCACGGACACCTGCAAGGTCTTGTGGTTGTTGTTGGAGATGGCGGGAAAGCATTTTATGTTGTGAACGTCGGGAGGCGCGATATTTTTCACGTTATTTATCACTGGGGTCACGACGATGTTATGTTTGTCGACGAACAGGTTGGTTATCGTCTGCTGTATCACTTTCACTTCCGGCTTGGGCTCGATCTCGATTTTAACGGTTGGGGACTTCTCCTTGTTTGGCACTTTCTCCGTTTTTTCCGGAGACGGTTTCTTCTCTTTCAGCTTCTCGCTGTTCTTAGCTATGTCTGCGTAGGAGATCGGAGCGTTAAGCCCGTCTATGGGAAGAGAGTGCACCGAGTCCACGTCGGAGGAGTCGTTGGACTTCTCGCTGTGCGGAACGGAACAGGCCGACTTGCCGCGTAGGTCCGGGGAAGGCGCACGGTTGGCATGTTTGGAGTTGGACTCCGAAGTGGAATTCTGGCGACGACCGCCGCCGATGCTGTTGTGACGTTTCTTGCTCTTCTTCTTCGGTTTCGTCACTACCCAGTTCTCCGCCGCCTCTAAATTCTCGATGGAGGCGTTGCTGTAGAGGCTCTGGATCGGCGGTGGCTAATAATAATAATAATAACAAATAAAATCGTTAAATAATTTAACAATCATCCATTATATTTCTTATTTATGCATTACATTAAATTTTAAACCCTGCTATTTCCACAACTGGTAAATCTGTAATGGTCAACTTGGCCTATGAGGAAAAGAATCTTGACAGGAAATTATAAAATAACTAGTGATGAATGACTAGTCATTCATCGGTCACTTTTAAATTTAAAAAATTATAGTTCTTTGAATTATATTTTAACTGTCTTCTCATTTTCGTTGCATTCTTGGTTCAATATTTGAGAAATTTTAAAGTAATTCCACACAAAATCGTACTTTAGATCATATTTAAGAAAGAAAAATAATAATTTTAAGGAATTATTGAATTTGAGGAAGAGATTGGCGATTTTAATGTTCAATGGACTTACACCCGTTGCATACATGCCGGATCCGGTTACCTGGCAGCAAGGTGTACAGAGTCTCATGGCAGCTTTCACACGTGACGGAAGGAGCTATCCGGCGAACGGCTTGTAGCCGGGTTGTAGCCAGTCGCCAGCACTGCCAGCCCGGCTGCCGTGTACCGGCTATCAGGCGAGCGAAGTGGTAGTAGTGCATAGTTTTGTATTGATGCTTTCACACTTGCCAGGTGCTTGCCGGGTTCAGTCGTCCGGTTTCATTGAAAAGAACAGGACGTGTCAATTATTTTTTTAAATATTTGTACGCAACTGTGTCGAATGTTTGTTCGCTAGAAGTAGATCTAGCATTCTTTATATCACTGCTTGAATCCAGACCTGTCCAGTGGGACAAAACTTTAGCCTTTTCATATTTTTTGTTTTTGTTTATTGCAACAACATTGGCAATAGCCAAGCCACATAATTGCAATGCGTCTACGATTCACCTCTTGTCGTGATAAAAATGCAACTGCAACTAATATCGGCAAAACCGGTTTGAAAATTAAATTACGTGTGAAAGAGCCAGTCGGATCGGGATAGCCGGATCCGGCAAGTGTGCAACAAGGCTTATGGTCATTGACTTTGGTCATTTTTGTGACTGTATTTGTGTCTAACCTTAAAATTACAACTAAAAATATTTAAAATTCAATCTCAATAATTCCATTAAAACCATTATTTATAGTTGTCAATTATTTTGCAGGCTTAGACATGACCAAAGGCAATATTTCGTAAATTTTTCGAATAAAAGTACGTCCATTATTCAAATTCGTATGCAGAACAAATTTTTTTCTACAATCTGGTATGTATGATATCCAACCAAAATGAGAAGGCAGTTATTATATTATAAAAGTTAAGAAATGAGCAGTAAAATAATAAAAGATCAAGTCAGAGACATTATCCGCAAAATTACCGATTTTTAAACAACCAGTCATTTAGCGATCACCAAAAATAACATTTTCATATCAATCCTCGACGACAAACAAATACCCCAACAATATATATTTTATTTGACTAGGCATCAAAAATATTTAAAGAAATTTGTAGGACAAGAGTAATCGTTTTAAAACGACTAATGCACTATTGAAAAAATGGTTTTGTTTTAGTAAAGACGCAAGTCTATAAACAATATGTCGAACTGAAATACCAAAACACCGAATACACCAAATCGTTGCTGTATACAGATTAATTTGAAGTTAATAAAGAAATTTCCGCTACAGAATAAAGACATCTCAATGTTCAATGTTGCAATCTGCAATTAAAACTAAGACGTTTGAACTACTCCATCCGACTGTTTTTATTAGTTACACAGGCACACAAAAAAAAATGTCAAGACCCGGAGGGTATACCCCCTACCCCTCCGTTTTTGGGGTCGCTGAAACCAAATATGACCATAAAAAAAATTTGACTGGCCATTTCCACGTGCCACCCCCATACACCCCTCTCTGGGAGTTGAAATGTTTATTCTCATGCAAAGTCGAGTAGGGTGTGTATTCCTTTGTTTTCTGGACCACTAAGAACGAAGAAGACTACCAAAAATGAATTAGACCCCCTCGTTACCCCCTGGCGTCACTTTACCACCCCCATACACCCCTTTATGGACGTTGAAGTATCAATTTTCATACAAAGTCGAGTGGGTTGTGTATGCCTACATTTTTTAGGCTGCTGAAAACAAATCTGAGCGACGAAGGGTGCCGAGAGTTGATACACCCCCACAAGGGGGTGTATCGGGTGGTAACGGGGAAATGGCTAGTTAAATTTTTGTATGGTCATATTCGGTTTTATCGACCCCAAAAACAGAGGGATAGGGGGGTCTACCCTCTGGATCTTGACAATTTTTCTCGACTTTGTATGAAAATTGACACTTTAACCCCTATAAAAGGGGTGGTAAAATGTCGCTAGGGGCAACGAGGGTATCTTATTCATTTTTTGGTAGACTTCTTCGTTCTTAGTGGCCCAGAAAACAAAGGAATACTCGTCCTACTCGACTTTGTATGAGAATTGACATTTCAACTCCCAGAAAGGGGTGTATGGGGGTGGTAAAGAGACGTTAGGGGGTTACGAGGGGTCTAATTCATTTTTGGTAGTTTTCTTCGTTCTTAGTGGACCAGAAAACATAGGAATACACACCCTAATCGATTTTGTATGATAATTGACATTTGAACTCCCAGAAGGGGGTGGTAACGGGGACATAGCTAGTAAAATTTTTTTTAATGGTCATATTTGGTTTCAGCGACCCCAAAAACGTAGGGGTAGGAGGGTCTACCCTCTGGGTCTTGACACTTTTTTTTGTGTACGTGTTATTTTGTCACTTCACTTTTTGATATACATAATACCTGACATTCATGCAACAAAATTTGGTCATAGATTTTTAAGACAAATTTAGGGGACAGGTATTTTTTCTTTTTGACAACTGACCCCCTCTTTCGGACAGCCAACTGAAATCTGTCCCTAAGTTTTTTTGTATATCTCAAAAACATGTTGTACAAGAATCACTAAATTTAGTACACAGGGGTTTTATGACATGTGGAATCTCACAGTGCTATGCTTTTTGGCGAGAAACCTTCTTAAGACATTTTTTCGTGAGCCCCTTTGTCTTTGGAATCAGAAAAATTTGGTCGCAAATTAGATTTTTTTTTTTTAAATTATTAGTTAGCTAGAAAGCCATTGAATTTAGAAACTTTCTTGTCTTTTGATATTTGTTTCGTAAAACGCAATGTTTTTGAGGAAAATGGCGAATCACGATATGCATTCGATTACAATGCTAGACATTTTTCTCGAAAACATTGCGTTTTACGAAAATAGTATAAAGGGACAAAAAGTTTCTAAATTTAATGGCTTTCTAGTGGAGTGATAATTTTTGAGAAATTAAAATATGCGACCAAATTTTTTTGGCTAAAACTCCATATTGTAAAAAAAATGCTTGAATTACTTTTGAATTATTAAAGCCTAACGATTTTTATTTTTTTATCATTTCGGATATTTATTAACTACTTTCTTTTTACCTGTTGCCTCACAATACTCAACACCTTCGAAAAGTTATGAAGAAGAAAACAATTGCTGTGACTGTCAAAATAAGTATCAACTGTTTTTACTATTTCCGATTAACCTGAATCACAAAAATGATAAATAATAACTTAAACTAATAAACTGAGACTTACAACTGCATCATCTAAGAGTTTCGTATTTTTCATTAGTTCACTTTTTTTTTGTACACTGTGTACATTGTTCACTAATATTTCTTAATATGAATAATTCCGTTGCACATTCATATTCATCGGCTAGGCAAATTATGTTTCTTCTAGAATCAAATAGGAAGAAATCTAATAGTCAATTAACTTAAATTTGTCATTAAATTGTCAATTTTGTATTTGTAAAATTAAAAAAAATGACAAAAAAAAACATAAATAATTAATAAATTAATTTTGTGACATATTTTTAGATCACACTGTATATACAATTATTATTCCACCACGACTCACCTCTACGGTTCCCCAGGACCTCCTCTCCTTTGGCCTATCGTTCTGGCCCTTCCCTGGCCTAAGGACGACCTTATTCTCGCTGTCCTTCTCGCTGCCGCTGGCGAAAGCGAACTCTTCCAACTTAGCGGTGGAAATTTCTCCCAACGAATTGCTCTTCTTCAGCTCGGACCTGCTCTCCTTACCCTTAGGAGAGTGAGCCCTCTGTTTCTTACTCCTGCCGCTATCATCGGACGTGTGCTGTTTGTGGAGCTGCTTGGACTTGTGAACGTTGGACTTTGTCCTGCCGGAGGAGTCGTTCTCTTTGTCTCCGCCGATGTACTGCATGAGCTTGTCGACGTCGTGGATTATGTCGCTGCGATGACCAGCAACCTGCCACAAGCAAAAAATATCGACTCAATACTTGTTAATTATGTTGCCGAATTGACGCTACCAACAATGACCGATAGTAGTGGTTAATCCAAGTGTAAATCTACAATACACCAGTTTTATTTGCAATAACAATTCATTGAATGTAATGTGACTCTACTGAAGAATCACTAACTAACTGGAACTTTTTTGTCTATTGGAATCAATCAATTTATTGTGTATTTGTCCCTACAGTTGCTATAAAATAGTTCTAATGCGCAAACTATGTTAGTCATGAAATATTGTGTACCCTTTTTGCTCAAAATGTTTGAAAGTATGAGGAAACATGTCTCGAAACAAATTACAAAAATTAAAATTAAGAACGACCCTGTAATGGAAACGGTTGTACTTACACTTTCTGCGGTAAGAACCACGACGTTTTTGTCGGTCTGTATCTTCTTTTTCTTGGTTTTCGTTCCAGGATTTTGTTGCAGAGCATTGCCATTCTCATCGACTTTCTAAAATTAGGAAAATACTTGCATATAACTTCATTAACATCAGATGCTCGATTTTCAATAATAAAATGAAAAACTTGATGTCTTTCGATATCTACGTGTTCAATCAACTGACAAAATTATTTCTTTCGTAATAATCATTCATATTAATTGAAATGAGCACTAATTATGCTTATGCAAATAAGACGCATGTAGAATTAGATCAGGTGGAAAATAGAATTAAACGGCACTTTACCATGTTCAAAAGCAACCAGCAAATATAATCTGTAATTAGTCGTTTAAAATATGATAAAAGATAAAATAATATCATACAAATTATGTAGATTCGCCGAATCATGCCATGTTTTTTAAATAAATAGACAAAATAGGTTAGGTTAGAATTTATCACTTGAAATTAAATTCGTAACGAAATTTTATCCAAGATAAAGGCTCACCACTATGGAAAAGGGCTTGATGATCCAAAATGGACATGCGTCATTGTGTTCTTTCTCAATTATCATTGAATGGCACAAATTAAAAAAGCCAGATATGTTCCAAAAACACTGCTTGTAACGTATACAGAACACAGAAACACACAAATCTACAACTAACATCAAAGACTGCTGAAAAACTAGTAATATATCCTGACCCTGACGGTGATGACCTTTAAACTCTGAACACCGAAGTACTACATATATGTTTATCATTAATAATAATTACCTGTGAGTTTACAACATAGAAAATAGATAGCACATATTTTTTGCTTGATTTATTCAGTTACATTTATAGTATTTCCGCTACTTTGAAAACTTTCACACAATGGCTATAGTGGAAACAATAATGTACACATTTGTAAAATTTAATATGCACATATATTTTTTTTAAAGTCACAAATGAAATAATGAATATTGTATTTGTGGTTGGAGCAGAGCAGGCTATGGAAGAAATAATTTGATACAATAGTGGCTGAAAATTTCTCATCAGGAGGTAAGAAAAGAAATATAATTACAGTGAAAATCGGTTATAACGATTTTCAAGGGACCGTTTGTTTACGGTTGTTATAACCGATAGATATATAAGCAATTACCTACATATATTTTATTTAAACGTAGGTCGAAATATGCTTCGTTTCCGAAATTCAGTGTTTAAATTTCAATTTTCAATTTTTTATTATTTATTTCAAAGATATTGACTCGAAATCTGAAAAATGCTTTGGGGTGATCCGAATATTTTTACTTGCACCTTTAAATAAAAGATTAACGAAACCTACAATAAAATGTTTCATCTTTTTCCTCAAAAACGGTGCATCCTATGAAAAAAATTGAAGAGACCAATTTCATTAACAATTAATGGCGGATTTCTAAAAAAATATCAAGACGGGAAAGTCAGTGCCGTACCATTTTTCTTATCAAAAAAAATTGTGGCATTCTCGCACAAACGTCACTGGTGCAAGTAGAAATATTCGGATCACTCCAAAAAATGCACATTTCTTCCTCCAAAGCGTTTTTCTAATTTCGAGTCAATATCTTTAAAACTCTTTGAAATAAGTAATAAAAATAAATACAAAATTAAGATTTAAACAGTCTGTATCTCGGAAACGAGGCACATTTCGACCTACATTTATATAAACTTTTTTTCCCAAATCTTCGGCAACCACCCGATAAAATATTTTGCACTTATTTACAAACACCCTGTATGTGATTTTTCTTCTTTATTAAACACGGGTGGAAAAGCGGTACATTGGTTTTAAGGCCGTATTGGTCGTTCTAACCGACAGATTCTATGGTAAATGTATATAAAAAACGCGTCGCTAAATCCGAAATGTCGTAAACGGTGTCGTAGTAAACGATATTTTCAATATGGATTAAATCGGGGCATCCAAATTCCGTTGTTATATCTAATATGTCGTACAAAGCAATGTCGTTATAACCAATTTTCACTGTATAAGTTCTAGCTCATCATTGTACATTAAATATTATTATAATTCAACAAATGTTTCTTAAGTATTTCCGTAATAGGTTTCTTAATTAATTGCGATTAATAGTTCTTTCTGCTTTCCTTGACATAAAATAAATAACAAGGTATGCCAAGGAGTGAACGTCACAATCTATTAGAATTAATACCATTCTATGTAAAATATTTACTTTTGCCTTGGATATACTACTACTTTTTGAAAAATATTTTTCATATATTTTCGGATTCTTAAAAACCAAGCGGACACACTTGGTATGGAAGCGGAACCGTTATTTTAATTTTTTCAGGTTCCAAAAATTATGTGCCTTTTACATTCTGTCAAAAAAGCATCCGGAATTTGTCAATTAAACCAAATATATTCAATTAAAAATTCACTTTGTCTCCTTAAAAATAGGCTCCATTTGAAACCAAGGAACAACCCAGTCATCAAAGCATTTTTTAAACGCATATTCGGGTATGGACTTCAACTCCAGCGATTTTTGTTTTATGGCTTCTATCGACTCTAAACGTGTTCCACAAAGTTGTAATTTGAGTTTGGGAAAGTGGAAAAGTCAGCAGGGGCCATTCCGGCGAATACGCTGGCCGATCGATAACATCCGTTGATTTTTAGTCAAAAATTCATTCACAATTATCGCTTTGTGTGATGGTGCATTATCGTGATGCAAAATCCAAGAATTGTTCTTCCATAAATCTGGTCTTTTGTGACAGATACTCTCTTTCAAAGGACTCGTAATGCCCAGATGATATTGTTTGTCGACTGTTTCTCCGTCCGGAAGGAATTTTATGTGGACCATGAGAGTCAAAGAAAACAGTGTACATGACTTTGATTTTTGATCTACTTTGACTTGTTTTTTTGGTCTCATTGGAAAAGCACCATTCTGATATTTGTTGGCTCGTTGGCATGTCAAACTCGTAAACCCATATTTCGACTCCCATTGTGATGTGTTACATGAAGGTAGTCCGAATTAGCTGGTTGAAGCGTCTTCAACTTTTTTGTGATGCTCTTTTTGAAGAAAATTCAGCTCTTTTGGTGGAACTAGCCATACAGCGATGCGTTTCATACCCGAAACATCAAATAAAATGATGCGAACTGATTTGTGAGATATGTTTAGTTCATGCCAGCTCTCAAAACTCAAACTATAATGACGGTTTACAACCGCCGTTTCCTTCACTTTATCGCTGTTTTCCTCAGTTGAAGACATTGAAAGATGACCATAATGTGGCAAATGATCAACTGCTTCTCAACCATGTTTGAATGCTTTGTACCATTCGTATGATTTTCTTTTCGATAAAATTGAATTACCGTAGTCTTTTTCAACAATTTCAACGATTCAACATAAGAAATTCCCTTGGTAGCACAAAATTTTAGGAAAATTCTTTGTTCAATAAAATTTTCCATAGTCTCGCAACATATTTTAGGTGGACTAACAAAATTAACAGCTGTAAGCAATCTACTTGACAGCTCAAACTACGCGTCACAGTAGAGTACAGCGCTACAAACTTTCCATCGATAAAGAAATTTAAATGTACTTTATGCAGAATTTTTTAATAACAATTCCAGATACTTTTTTGCCAGAATGTATTGTCTATTTCTCTTTAAGTAAAATGAACACATGTTACATGACACGACATCAGGAATGAGTGTAACTTGGCAATAAATTGACAATTTGCACGTGCACATCTCCAAACGAGATATTCAGGATATTTCAATATTCCACCATAAAATTATACAGAAGATTCTTTACCAAAAATTAAAACCAAGTTCATTACGTGAATCCGTAAAATTTTCTGTTAAGTCTCAGAAATATACCAAATTTGGTCGCAGTACCTTAAAAAACATGTAAGAAAACTGAGAATAACTAAAAGAAAATAACTAACTTGTACCTCAAAAACAAAGCGTTTGAAGATACATGCCCTTTTTCTTATTTTTAATACAAGAAAAGCCTGCACAAACGGCTAATATTGGGTTTAAAAAAATATCAAAAGAAATTATAAAACTCAGGTGATGTATAAAAAGATATAAAAGTCTGTAACTGACCTTTTCTTCTGAATCCTTTTTGTAGGTTGGGATATAGACGTTGTACTTGCTTCGTATTACGTTTGATTGTAAACTATGTAGGTCGTATGGTTTCTTCTCGCTGGCACTGTCAAGATCTAGAGGAATTGGGTCGTCAACATTTGCTCCGGCTACAAAAAAATTACGCGATCACACAACCATACACCCCTTGAAGAACGTGTACATAACGTCAATTTTTTAAATATTTTCTGCACTAAAACATGAAAGGAATGTAGAATGAAACTTTACACCTGTCTCAGGAGGTTCGGAGTATATTTAGACATTAATATCCGGTAAAGATGTTTTGATCGTGTACGTAACATGTAAATATTTTTGCACTAAAAGTTAAATGAAATGTTAAACAAAATTACTCATTATCAAAGAATTATAAGAGATAATCTAAAAGTTAAGCTTTGTAAATATGACAAATGTACAGTGACGGCGCTACACAGCAAATCCTTACGCTTCACGCTGCACAAATATGACCTCCAAAGAGGCTTATATACAGGGTGTCCCACCACGAACTCCATCGATGGATATCTGGGAATCCGTTCGAAGGATTTTTTTGAAATTGTGACGGAGTGATACGTACTGTGGGGCCTACCAAGCTAAAATATTTTCAAGGTCATCGTACTTCCGGTTATACCGGTAGTCGATACTAACTTTCTTATTTTAAATTGAACCCCCTGTATATTATTGCATTTTTGGAAACGGCATCTATTTTGTTGTTGAAAACATATAGCACATTTCATACTTAGGATTGACCGTTTCCGAGATATTTTTATTTTCAAGCAAAAATTGACAGATGCAGACCGTCGGCAAAATTTATGATTATTGAAAATTTTCTAGTTTTTATACAGGGTGGTCAAACAAATGATAGAAAATGAAGTTCAGAAAATGTGGAAAACTCGAAATTTTTAATCGGAAACCCCTAATTTTTTTAACATATTCGCATTCTGCACTAAAATTAAGTATGACTTTGTTAAAGTCTCCCTATACCTAAACCCAGTGGCTTTCATTTTATTTACAATTAAACATTTCTCTTTTCTTAAAATGATGTTTCCATTTGTTTCGCACATTTTAGGCTGGCCGTAACAGGTAAGTAACAATCAACACGACAACTGTCCCAGGTTTTTAATTGTTAAATTTATTTAGTTCCTTGTGGGTCCTGCTCTAATAGAATCCGGTGATAAATGCTATTTTATTTGAGACACTAAAAAATAGTGTGTATAGTACTCCAGTAACAACAAAGGAAAATTTATGCATAGAGTAAGGCAAGCATTTGAGCATCTATCACTGGATTCTATTAGAGCAGCGACAAGCGACAAGACAATAGACAAGGAACTAATCCGAAGGTGTGAAAAATGTTTAGAAGTTGAGAAATTGAATGAAGACATTTTGAACATTCGTTAAAATAAATTTGACATTTAAAAACCTGTGAAAATTGACATGTTATTGTTACTTACCTGTCACAGCCAACCTAAAATGTGCGAAACAAATGGAAACATCATTTTAAGAAAAGGGAAATGTTTATTCGTAAATAAAAATGAGAACCACAGGATTTATGTATAGGGAAACTTTAACAAAGTTACACTTAAATTTAGTGCAGAATGCAAATACGTTAAAAAAATTTGGGGTTTCCATTTAAAAATTTCGAGTTTACACATTTTCTGAACTTCATATCCGATAAAAAAAATTTGACCACCCTGTATAAAAACTGGAAAATTTTCATGTCGAATTCGATAAATTAGGTATTCCTCTACAAAATGTGCAATTTTCACAAAAAAATAAACCTTTGTTACCGGGAAAACTAAATTTTGCCAATCCTAAGTATGGAGTGTGTATACATTTTCAACTTAAAAATAGATGCTCTTTCCAAAAATGCAATAATATACAGAGGGTTCCATTTAAAATAAGAAAGTTAGTATCGACTTCTGGTATAACCCGAAGTACAATGACCTTGAAAATATTTTAGCTTGGTAGGCCCCACAGTCCGTATCACACCATCACAATTTAAAAAAAAAATCTTCGAGCGGTTTCCCAGATATCCATCAATGGAGTTTGTGGTGGGACACCCTGTATATTTAGTGTTCTATAATTTGGAACTCCAGAAATATCACTTTCATTTGGAACATCTGATATAAAGTATTTTTAAAAAAGACAAATGTCTTTTTCAGACTATTTGCCCCAATTTAACCATCGCATCGTAACTTTTTATCTATTGGTTTACCACAACGTGCATTTATATTCAAACAAGTGGTTAAGGATTATCTTCTTATCGTTACTATTATTATTATTTGGTTACATATTTTTAGACTTACTATTAAACATAGTTGTACTCAATAATACATACTTTTGGTACATTTCCCAAGAATTATTCAAAACAAAGATCCTGGTGCAACAAAACATCACATAATTTCCAGAATATCCACTTAAATTAATTATTTGCCAAAAAATTTAAAATATTTACATGAAACTGATAAAAGCTTGTTTACAACATGAAAAACATACGACTTTTTTTTGTTTGTTACATTCTTTGGTTCCTTCGACAAAAATTTTCACAATATACCCAGGCACTTACCTTTTACTTTGATCAGAATAAAAAATCAGATAAATTGAAAATACAAGGTTCAAGTATTACTAAATTCATAATTAAAATGAAGAGAATTAGTTCGAATTTGAATTACATAATATTACATCATCATTGCTGCATCAAAATTCACTACACATTTTTAACTGCATGTATTTCGGCAAAAAGTCGAAAACGAAGAACAAAAATGCCTGACGATGAGAGGACTGATCGGTGATCATTCACATTTTGCACGCATACTTACAGATCTGAAGCGTGGCCTTCGTGGTGAACTTGGTGGCCCCTGGAAGCACCATTTCGATGGGTGACGATTGCTCCTGATAGTTCTGAGCGAGGGAGTCATGTTCTAGAAGGCTTTCGGATTCCATGTCGATGGCGGTGTACTCCTTGTTCTTCATGGCCTTGTTTCGTCTGGCCTCCTCTAAGAATTGATAATCCCGGGCCGGTATGACACTGGAGTTGACATCGCAGGGCAAACTCCCTGCAAAAAAAAGGAGAGAGGACAGCTGTACAAATCATCCGTTTGCGTTCATTATCTTTACTTATTCATATCTTTATGTAACAGATAACACCTTTACAGTACAATTTTTATCTTGTATCAACAAATAAGGATGATTAAAACTTGTGTTCGCTTAGTGCTCCATGAAATGAAACATCTGAGAAATATGGGTGTATTTCAAGTAGGTTATGTTGCTTTGACAATTACATTACACTATTTTCTCGTGAGTACGTCAAATTGTTAAAATAATTGAAAAACCGATTTGTATATTTTAAACAATGCACTGGGTTGCATAATTTGATGCAAAAATAAAATATATGTAACCGATTTGGTGACATGACAACAAAAATCGATTTGGCAAAAACAGACGGGACGGGAATCACAAAAAAGACAACTCACATCGAAACGAATTTCCGGTTAAGGACTTCAGAGTTTCCATGTTTGTCGGGGTCGTGATATTTTCCAGAAAAAAAAAATGGTAACGTTAATTTTTCAGTGCTCCGCCTGTTGTGCTGTGTAACAAACTTATCGAAATTGTAATATATACTTTTCACACGAATTTCAAGTCGAAACTACGATAACACCGAAGTTGGAGTGTTGTTCGACACTTCAAACACAATAAAAGCATTTTATATTGTGCAAATCGCGTAAGGCACCATCGAAACAACTTGGATTTGCAGACGATCATACAAAAAATTTGAGGTTATGTCCTGTCTGCTTTCCTTGCACAAAAACTGCCCGTTGCCTGCCTGCCACGATTAGGTTCAGAGCTGGCCTTGGGCCTTGGACATTTTCATTGTTTGTTCCAGGACAAAAGTAACACGTAAAGTATTAGCAAACAGAAAACAAAAACATCGGCTATTTACATGGCCAATAGCTATCCGAACGTTGGGTTCACTTGACCATTCTATTCTAGATTCTAGAACATATGGCTAGGGCTTAACTAGGGCAAAATATACCAACCAACAGATAAATTTGAATAGAAATAAGGAGACGGAAATCGTAGGTATACCGGAAATAACTGAAGCGGTAAAACGTATTGCTGTTATTTATAGTGTAGATCATGTATTACTAGATAATTATTTAAAAACAAAAACATATAATGGAAAGACGTCCATCGATCACAATGAATTTAAACTCATTGGCGTACCCTGCAAGGGGGAATAATCATTTAATATTTTAGAAAACGAGGAGTGCATAAAAATAATTAAATTAATAATAAAAAATGCATTTTTTCAAATGAACTTACCTTTGCAGAAGATGTCGTTTTAAGGTTGTTTATTATATGTATTTTATATATTATTTCCACTACAATAGGTATACCTACATATTTTTATTTTTATATTATATGGGGTGTTTAGAAAACAATAGTTGATACCTACATCGAATTACTTTAATACAATTTTGCTTCCATAACAATTGTTTATTTTATTTTCTTAGTCACTTTTTAATATTTCAATAAAATTTGGTTTAAGAGAGGTTTTTGGGGTAGCCGAGTGAAAATATACTTTTTTTAACTAAAAATCCAGAGGAGCAACTTCTTGTATTTTTTGCCTTGTTTTTCAATTTTCTACTCATTTATGAGCAGTTGAGTAATTATTTTGAAGCATTCTCGTCTAATAATAATTAAGCTTCAGCTTTTTGTTACATTTGTAGCTGTATTAAATATTTCACGATTTAAACCAACTTACTGAACAGGTAAAATAATAATAAATGTCTAATAAAACAGGTAGAGCCCTTTCAATGCAGTTCTGCGAAACAATTTAGAAATTTGTACTGCCCAGTTAATTCCAAATACCATAGCTGGCAAAGTAGATAAGGCTCAAACCTTTTTTGATTTTTTATACCTATTTCTTTAACTAACTCCGAGAATAGTATGGGTCCATCTGACCCACAAATTTTTTTGATCATGAAATTCGTAAAGAAATTTTAAAAGTCCCTTAGGGTCGTGTGACACTATGCTAAAATTAGAACTAATTTCAGTAATTAACTTAGAACTTTTTAATCTTGCATGGTATCATACACAAATTGCAACAAAAATTGTTGCGGTTTCTGTGTGGTACTATGCAAGATTAAAAAGTTCTTAATTAATTACTGAAATTAGTTCTAACATTAGCATAGTGTCATACAATATTTGTTGTTTTCTGCCAATGTCTTTCTACCACGGGTGTCGAATGCGGTTAATACCAAGAAAGTCACGCAGAGGTCTTCTTGGAATTCTATATTAACACATATCGTACGGACTATACAGGGTGGGCCATTAGTGTGAGAAAGTAAAATAACTCCCTTGTTATTTATAATACAGAAAACAAGTTTATAATAAAAGTTGTACAGAATTAAAAAAACTAAAGGACAAAATCAATTTGAAACACACAGGGCGATGAGTAAAAACGGGACACGCCAAATATTACATTTTTTAAATGGAACACCCTATATATTTTTAAACATATGGATTTCTGAGAAAATTCTATATATGGCAATATAAACAGTTTAACATTTTAGTGCGAGGTTGCCAAGTTATGTGGAAAATTCTTCGAATTTTGGAAAAAACAGGATTTCGAAGAAGTTGTATTAACTTCCAACTACTAACATTTGGAGCAAAAATATTTGACAGAGTGATAGGCAAATGTTACGCAAGGACTCCTATATTAGGTAATATCGATATTTTATACAGGGCATTTTTTATAATACAATCATTGTAAGAAAGTTCAAACTTAATTTTCTAAAATTTTTCATATGGAACACCCTGTATTTTATTATTCTATTTTATTCACATATTAGTCCACTTCAACTTTTATTAAGTATGTTCTGCACCTAAAGTTGTTAGTTTTTAAAATATAGCAACATATCTGGAAAAACCTAATTTTTATTATTTTCCATGGCACGAATTGGCTTTGGAACTGCCACATTGTGTCAACTTGTCAGTTCATAATTTATCATTCCATTTTGAGTTAATTTTATTAGTTAATACTTTTTATTTGTGGTATTCTATAAAATAATAAAAATTAAGTTTTTCAGAAATGTTGCTATATCTTAAAAACTAACAATTTTAGATATAGAACATGCTTAATAAAAGTTGAACTGGACCGATATGTGAATAAAATAGAATAATAAAACAATAGAACATTAAAATACAGGGTTGAAAATTTTTCAAATGGAACAAATTAAGTTTAAACTTTCTAGTGTGATCTAATAAAATATCGATATTAGTTAATATAGGAGTATTTGCCTAACATTTGCCTATAACTCTATCAAAAATTTTTGCTCCAAGTGTTAGTAGTTGAAAGTTAATACAACTTCTTCGAGGTCGTGTTTTTTCCAAAATTCGAAGAATTTTCTACATAACTTGGCAACCCCGCACTAACATGATAAACTATTTATATTGCCATATACAGAATTTTCTCGGAAATCCATATATTTAAAAATATATAGGGTGTTCCATTTAAAAAATGTAATATATGGCGTGTCCCGTTTTTACTCATCGCCCTGTATGTTTCAAATTAATTTTGTAGTTTAGGTTTCTTGATTCTGTACAACTTTTATATAAACGTTTTTCTGTATTATGAGTAACAAAGGAGTTATTTTACTTCTCACACTAATGGCCCACCCTGTATATGCAGTGTGTGTAATCCTCTCCTAAGTTTTTGCATCTACCGACCAAATGAAATTGGTAATATGAGCCTCAATTTTTTTTAATCCATTTTTTTAATATTTCAGCAATACGTAAAATTTTATAGTGTAACTAGCTGACCCGGCAAACGTTGTTTTGCCATCTTGTGGAACTGTGGATGGAACAAAATAATATAAAAATCGCGATTAAAAATCAGGGGTTGATCGTATAAGGGTGAAAATTTAGAACTGTATGTATTTTTCAATGCTGAATCATGAAAAAATAAAAACNGTAGCTGAAAGTTAATACAACTTCTTCGAGGTCATGTTTTTTCCAAAATTCGAAAAATTTTCTACATAACTTGGCAACCCCGCACTAAAATGATAAACTGTTTATATTGCCATATACAGAATTTTCTCGGAAATCCATATATTTAAAAATATATAGGGTGTTCCATTTAAAAAATGTAATATATGGCGTATCCCATCTTTACTCATCGCCCTGTATGTTTCAAATTAATTTTATAGTTTAGGTTTCTTGATTCTGCACAACTTTTATATAAACTTTTTTTCTGTATTATGAGTAACAATGGAGTTATTTTATTTCTCACACTAATGGCCCATCCTGTATATGCAGTGTGTGTAATACTCTCTTACGTTTTGCATCTACCGACCAGATGACATTGGTAATATGAGCCTCAATTTTTTTTTAATCCATTTTTTTAATATTTCAGCAATGCGTAAAATTTTATAGTGTAATTCCTACTTACACCATTCTAGTAATTTTGCATTTCAATTGTCAGTGTCATAGATGTGGGGAGAGATGAATTCCTTTCGTGAGCGTAACTTCTACGCCTATGACTTTTTTTAATTAATATTTATGCATAGGTACACACTTATTAAATCAATCTACATATTTCCGAGAAAAACGATTGTTAAATTTTCATATTTTCTTAGATTTTGAAGTAAACTGCATAGTCTGTAATATTTATTTGTAGCATTTTCAGTTATTTTTTTATTTGAATAGGTATTTCAGTCACGCAGAAAGAAAAAATAAATACTAAATAACACTTATTTACTTAAAAAAAACTCCACAATCTGCCTTGAATTCCTTCCGCCCTTAGATAACATTTTAATATAGAAAAAAATGTTTGTATGCACCTTTAGTGTTTGGTGTACGACTGACTCGCACTTGTTCAATCCATACCATACCAAAAGATGTGTCTGGCTAGCAACAGGTAGACCGACTATCAATCCGTCAGAATCCAAGTCTGCGACCACAAATAATTTTAATGGTCCCTTATCTCCCTGGAATTTCTGAATAGTTTTTTGTTGGTATGTTAAATGGCATGGACTGAAATCGATATTCGAGT